AACCTCGGAGTGCAGTCCTTTTACTCCCCGCACCGCCTTCTTTTGTGTATGCTGCGTCCAGCTTTGCAGTACATAAAGCCCCTCTCACAACCCCTGGGTCGTTCAATATTTTTAAATAACCTGTGCGGGAAAGAACTGTCACAACTCGGTAGTGCACACATATTCCAATCTAAAAATTGACAAAGGAAAGGATAGGAGTAGACATTTCTCCAAAGAAGACATAAAGACGGCTGATGAGAACGTTACAAAATGTGTAGACTTAGGGAAATGTGAGTCGATACTACAGTGCACTTGTACACCCCCGCTAGGGTGGCGGCTATAAAACAGCCAGTTGGCCGTGCCTTTGGCTCAACAGCTAAGACACCGCGTGGGGCACCTGCGTCCCATATTGGGGTGCCTGGGTTTGAGTCCCGGCTCCTCCACTTCCAAACAGGCTTCCTGCTCACACACATCCTGGGAGGCAGCTGCTGATGGCTCAAGTTCGCGGATCCTCTAACCCACTTGGCAGATGGGGCGGGGCGGGGGAGGGGGGGCTCCAGGCTCCTGGCTTCAGCCTGGTCCAGCTCTGGCTGCTGCAGGCAGGCATTTGGTTCCGAAATACTCGATGGACGATCTCTCTCCATTTGTCTCTGTCTCTCTGCCCTTCAAGTAAGTAAGAATAAATAAATGTTTGAGATTAAGAAAAGTAATCAGTGTGAGGATGTGGAGAATGTAAAGCCTCATGCTTTGCCGGTAGTGGGAATGCACAATAGTGCAGCTCCTTTTGAAAAGCTTGCGATTCTCAAAAAGTTAAACGAAGTTAGCATATGACCCAGCAGTTCCACTCCTAGGTACACACTCAAGAGAACTGGAAATATATGCGGGGTGGCATTGGGCTTAGCAGTTAAGACAAGGACATCCATGTTTGAGTGCCTGAGTTCGGATCCGCCTCTGCTCCTGACCCCAGCTTCCTGCTATTGGGCACCCTGGAGGTAGCGCGTGGTGGCTCAAGTAGTTGTATCGGCAGCATTCACACAGGAGACCTGGATTGCATTCCCGGCTCCTTGCTTCCACCTGGCCCAGCCCCAGCCTTCGCAAGCGTGTGGGGAATGAACTGGAAGCTGGGGAGATGGGGTTTCTCTTCTGTCTGTGTTTCTCTCTTTCTGTCTCTTAAATAGACAAATAATTTCCTAAAAGAAAATCTGGGGCCATCGCTGTGGCGTAGCGGGTGAAGCCACTGCCTGCAGTGCCGGCATCCCATATGGGCAATGGTTTGAGTCCCAGCTGCTCCACTTCCAATCCAGCTCCCTGCTGTGGCCTGGGAAAGCAGTACAAGATGGCCCAACTCCTTGGGTCCCTGCACCCACTTGGGAGACCTGGAAGAAGCTCCTGGCTCCTGGCTTTGGATCTGCACAGCTCCAACGGTTGCAGCCATCTGGAGAGTGAACCAGCAAATGGGAGAACTCTCTCTCTCTCTCTCTCTCTCGCTGCCTCTCCTTCTCTCTCTGTGTAACTATGACTTGCAAGTAAAATAAATAAATCTTTTTTTAAAAAAAGAAAATCTAACACAAAAATTTATAACCTAGTGTTCATAGCAGCATTATTTATAGTAGCCAAAAAGTGGAAGCAACCCAAAGAAACAAGATATATAAAGGAAAAAAGAGCTGGTACATGCTACAGCATGGATGAGCCTTGGGAATATCATATTAGGTAAAGGAAGCCAAATGCAGCAGGCCATAGCTTATGACCCCACTGGTATGAAATGTCCCAAATAGGCAAATCCATAGAGGCAGAAGGAATATTAGTGGTTTCTGGGGGTCAGGAAGGTGAGGATTGTGAGTGACTGCTAACGGGTGTGAGGCATGTTTTTGAAGTAATGAAAATGCTTGGGGTTGGGGGGCTGCATTGTGGGGCAGCAGGCTAAGCTGCTGCTTGCGACGCTGGCATCCCATATTGGAGTGCCCGTGTGAATCCCTGCTACTCAGCTTCTGAGCCAGCTCCCTGCCAGTGCTCTTGGAAAGGCGACAGAAGGCAGCCCGCGTGCTTGGGCCCCGCCACCTAAGTGGGAGATCCTGTTGGAGTTCTAGGCTCCTGGCTTTGTCCTGGCCCAGCCCTGGCTGCTGCAGCCATCTGGGAGTGAAGCAGAAGATGGAAGATCATTCTCTCCCTCTCTCTCTGTCACTCTGCCTTTCAAATGAATAAATCATTTTTTTCAAATGCTCCAGAAGAACTGAACTGTGTACTTTCAAGGAGCGCATTTTTAGTCTCTTTTAGAAAAGCCCATGTGCAGGAGGCAGAGCAGTTATTGAGTTTAGGTCCATTTGTGGTGCATGAGTGGAATGATGGCAAGTTTAAGAGATGAACCCAAGGGGGCTGGTGCTGTGGTGCAGCGGGTTAATGCCCTGGCCTGGAGCGCTGGTGTCCCATATGGGCGTCAGTCCTAGTCCCGGCTGCTCCACTTCCAATCCAGCTCTCTGCTAATGCACCTGGGAAAGCAGTGGAGGATGGCCCCAATGCTTGGGCCCCTGTACCCACGTGGGAGACCCAGAAGAAGCATCTGGCTCCTGGCTTCAGCCTGGCCTAGTCCTGGCTATTGTAGCCATTTGGGGAATGAATGAGTGGATGGAAGATCTCTCTCTCTCTCTTTCTCTTTCTTTCTCTCCTCTCTCTCTATAACTCTACCTTTCAAATAAATAAATCTTAATTAAAAAAAACCCTACATGTCTGTGATAAAAGATAACAACTGTTTTTCTTATGCAGCACTCATTTTGTGTCTGGTGTCTTACATGTTACCTCTAATCCTTTACAGCAATCCAGAGAAGGGCACTAAGGATCAAAGAAATTAAGCACCTGCCCAAACTCACAGTCAGTAAGTGGGAGAGCCAGGACTCAGACCCAGCTTTTCCCATTACAAGGCAATGCCTCTCCTTATGGCCTGTGTGTTCCTTAACATGTACTGAATACTTACGATGTCCCCGGCATTGCTGTCACTTCTTCACACCAAGTATCTCATTTAATCTGCAAAAGAATCCTCAGAGGCAGGGACAATGATTATCTTCATTCCACCCATGAGGAAATCAAGCAACAGAGAGTAGACCTATTCTATCAAAGGTCTCCTGGCTAGAAAGTGGAAAAGCCAGTCATCAAAGAAAGCCTTCTCCCAACTTCAGAACCTATTGCCTTGAGCACTTCATTGCAGACATCTCGTTCTTACCCATATCAATTCCATTTCCAGTGGCTTCCTAATAGAATCTTTAGAAAGCATACAGATTTTCATGTCTGAAAGGATATATGTCAAACTGTAATTTTTATTTTTGTTAATAAAAAGCACAAAGACTTTATGAAAGAAGAACAGTTTTTTTTTTTTTTCTACAAGGTAGAAATTCTGTTTGGAATTATTGCTTTCTTGTGCCAGCTTCCAGGGTCTCCAGTCTGGTCCTCAGAAACTCACAAATATCAACTGATACTGATTCCTTGAAAATAGGACATTGCCTGAATTAAACTGCAAAAGAAGCCGCATTCCTGCAAGCATGCTGCGAGAGGAGTGCCTTAGAGGCCATGTGTCAGTATGGTTGAAGGCAGGGACGGGGTGGGCATTGTAGCTCAGCAGGTTTAACTGCTGCTCGGGACACCCACATCGCATATGGGAGTGCCTGGTTCTTGTTCCGGCTACTCCACTTCCTGCCAATAAGCTTCCTGGGAAGAGGAAGATGATGGCTCAAGAACTTGGGCCTCTGCCACCCGCATGGGGGATCTGGACAGAGTTCTAGGCTCCTGACTTGTCTGGCCCAGCCCTGGCTATGGTGAGAATTTGGGGCGTGAACTAATGGATCTTTATATATAGTTCTGCCTTTCAATTAAAATGAAATGAACAAGCATTTAAAAAGTAAAATACTTGCCTCTTACTCATTTCATGATTCATCCACTCAGGGTCCACTTTTTAAAAAATTTATTTGAGAGACAGAGAGAGCTCCCAGCTGCTGGTTCACTCTGCAGATGCCTTGCTGGTGTCAGTAGCCAGGAACCCAACGTGGTCACCCAAGTGTGGCCAAGAGCACAGCTACTTAAGCCATCACTGCTGCTCCCCAGGGCACACAAACCCAGATACTTCTAGGCGGAACGCAGGCATCTTAACCACTAGGCTTCACGCTTGCCCCTCAATGACCATTTTTAAAATGCCTAATTTAGGAAACATGCTAGCATGCCTAGAGAAAATTAGACACATACTCTGCCTTAAGGAAGGGCGCAGTCTTCTTTTTTTTTTTTTTTTTTTTGACAGGCAGAGTGGACAGTGAGAGAGAGAGAGACAGAGAGAAAGGTCTTCCTTTTGCTGTTGGTTCACCCTCCAATGGCTGCCGCGGCCGGCGCACCACGCTGATCTGATGGCAGGAGCCAGGTACTTTTCCTGGTCTCCCATGGGGTGCAGGGCCCAAGGACTTGGGCCATCCTCCACTGCACTCCCTGGCCACAGCAGAGAGCTGGCCTGGAAGAGGGGCAACCGGGACAGAATCCGGCACCCCGACCGGGACTAGAACCCGGTGTGCCGGCGCCGCAAGGCGGAGGATTAGCCTAGTGAGCTGCGGCGCCGGCCAGCGCACAGTCTTTAGCAAAGAAACATATAGGACACAAAGTGAAGTTGAATCTCAGATAAGCAGGGATATCGTATGACTCATGCGATGGGACATTGTGGAGGGGGTTATATATATTTATATAATGTGATATAACTCCTACAGAAGGACATACAAGGCATTGTGGAATATTCTCTGGAGAGCACGTGTGAATTCTGATTAGACCGACCTAGGAGGACTCGCACGCCCGGCAATCCTTGTTCTGGGAGGGTGGAAAGGCATACCTATAGCCTTGCTTCTAAGTTGGAGGGCTAACTCTCCTGGAGCCGACATGAATCAGTCCGCGTTGCCAGACACGGCCGCTAGAGGGCGCAACAGCTGCATTTATTTAAATCATAGACAAACCAGCGGCTCGGCGGCCCAGAGAGGCTTTCACTGACTCCTCGGGCCCTCCTTCCTGCGCCCAGAGATCCGGGCGAGTGGAGGTCTCACGAGAATGAAAGCAGATCTCGCGACTCGTTTCCTTTTTGCCTAGCGACGAACCCGCTGGTTGCTCCAAGTAGAATCCGTTAAGTGGCCAGAGCTGGTTGGAGTGAGCCCCTAGCCCTGGGCGGGGGTTCTTCTCCCGTAGAGGAGACGGATTCAGAGGGGCTACAGGTAATTCGTGCTCGTCGAGGAAGGGCACAGCCTTCCTCCCTCCCGAGAGGCGTTTGAGGGGTCGCCCTTCCCGCTGCTCCCATCTCCACGACAGCGGGCCGTTTCTGCGCCCCTTCCCCCCGTTACTCCCCTCAACTGACATCCGGCCTGCGGACGGGGTGGACAGGGGCTGGTGCTCCTGGGGACTCCCGGGTGGGACCTGGAGACTGGGGTTCGCCCCCTCTGCGGGGCGCCGCCCCAGGGCTGCCGCCGGGACGGAGCTTTCCCAGAGCCTCTGAGGTCTTCCCGAGAAACCCCAGCAGCCTCGGGGAAGCTGCGGACGAATCCTGCTGTGTCCTTGTGCGGACTGACGGCGCTGGGGAAGCTGCCCCCGAAGCTGACTGCCTCAACGCCGTGCCCTCTCGCTGCCGACAGTCCCTGCAGCAGAGTGACTGCGTTAACCGCGGGGTGGGCGGAGGAGAGGTTTGGCGTCCTGGGTAGGAAGGCGGGCCGAGTGCGCCCCGTGTCCCACGATGAGTCGGGTGAGCAGGTCTCCTTTTGCTTAGACCGAGATCGTTGAGAACCAGTCGTACGATGAGCGGCTAGAGATTAACGACTCGGAAGAGGTCGCAAGTGTTTATGCTCCAACCGCAAGATACCAAGGTAAGAGGAAAGAAAACAAATGATCTTCAAAGAGCGAGATGGATTCATGGTTATCTTCAAGAAGCTCGAATCCCAGCTGCTCCACTTCCGACCCAGCTCTCTGCTATGACCTGGGAAAGCAGTGGGAGATCGCCCAAGTCCTTGGGCCCCTGCACCCACATGGGAGACCCGGAAGAAGCTCCTGGCTCCTGGCTTCGGAATGGCCCAGCTCCGGCTGTTGTGGCCATCTGGGGGGTGAACCAGTGGATAGAAGACCTCTCTCTCTGCCTCTGCCTCTCTAATAAATACATCTTTTAAAAAAAGTTCCTATTTTGTAATGCAAATTCTGACTTTCAGAGTTACGCTACTCCACTTGCCACTGTGTGTTTTCTCAGTAGTTAAGAAAGAGAAATCATGGCAGATTCTTCTTCCAACCCAACCCTATCACCATTTTTTACCAAAAAAAAAATTCTTAATGGTTTTATGTATTTTCACCTACTACTACTTGAAAGGCAGAGAGAGAGAGAGAGAGCACCCCCTTCTACCCACTGGTTCACTCTCCCAATGCCAGCAGCAGCCAGGGCTGAGCTAGGCTGAAGCCGGGAGCCCAGAACTCCATTCAGGTCTCCCACATGGGTGACAGGAGCCCTAGCACTTGAGGCGTCATCTGTCTCCCAGGTTGCACGAGCAGGGAGCTGGCGCCTCAGTGGAGCAGCCAGGACTTGAACTGGCAATCTGATATGGGAGGTGGGCATCCCAAGCAGCTACAGTGCTCACCTCCCCATCACCAGTTACTTGGTGTAGCTGCTGTGTTCAGCGTCGGCCAGGAGTTCACTCTCTTAGTAGTTATTGTTGCTGTTTTTATTTTTACCAAAACTGTGCTTTGCTCAGCTTTGAAGATACTTCAGAGCTTGCCATTAACCTGCATCCCCAACCAAGAGCTCAATGGATGTCTTAGAGGACGTGATACGGTTCGCTTATTCAACAGGCATCTTTGGATGTCTGCTGTGTCCCAGCCTTTTGCCTGCCACTGGGAATACAATATCTTAGACAAAAGACACATTGTCCCTGCCGTCCTGTTGCTTGGAATCATGGGAGACAGATGACAAATGAAAAAAACAAAAACAAAGATAATGGCAAATGTGATCAGTGCTTTGATAGAGACAAAAATTGTTTGCTGTTATGGAAAACAATGGTGGGGAGGGAGACCTATTTTTGATAGAATGGTGAGGCTTCGTATGGGATGCTGGTGTCGCAGGCGGCAGCTTAACCTGCTGCACCACAATGCCAGCCCCTCGCCACTCATTGCTTGGTGGACGCTTGGGTTGTTTGCACCTCTTGGCTGCCGTGAATAGTGCTGCTGTAAACAGGTGTACGAGCGTCTGAGTCCCTGGTTTCAGTTCTTTGGCGTGTACACCTCGCTACTAGATATGGTTTCTTTAAACGTTTATTTACTCGATGGGGCTGGCACTGTGGCGCAGCGGGTTAACGCCCTGGCCTGAAGCGCTGGCATCTCATATGGGCACTGGTTCGAGTCCTGGCTGCTCCTCTTCCGATCCAGCTCTCTGCTATGGCCTGGGAAAGCAGTGGAAGATGGCCCAACTCCTTGGGCCCCTGCACCCGTGTGGGAGACCCAGAAGAAGCTCCTGGCTCCTGGCTTCAGATCAGCGCAGCTCCGGCTGTTGCAGCCTTCTGGGGAGTGAACCAGCAGATGGAAGACCTCTCTCTGTCCCTACCTCTCTCTGTAACTCTGTCTTTCAAATAAATAAAACAAGTAAAAAACAAAACAAAACAAAACATTTATTTATTCGACAGGCAGAGTGCCAGAGAGGGAGCGACACGGAGAGGTGTCTTCCATCTGCTGTTACACTCCAAATGCCTGTAACAGCTGGGGCTGGGCCGGGCTGAAGCCAGGAGCCAGAAAATTCAACCAGCTCTCCCATATGGGTAGCAAGAACCCAAATATGTGGGCCATCATTTGCTGTCTCCCAGCACGTTAGCAGGAAGCCGGATCAGAAGCATGGAAGTAGAGCAGCTGGGATTAAAAAATGAGCTCATATGGGACGTTGGCTTCACAGGTGGCAGCCATGGCTAGAAGTCAGTCTGCGGTCCTTTAGCTAGATGGACTTATAAACGCTGTTCCATAAAATGGCTGGGGCATAAAATATTATAAACCAGAAGTAGTCCTCCTTACAAGTCATCTTCATGACAACCTAAAGGGAAACCTTTTCTTCTAAGGACTTCTTCATTCTGCCCGCCTTCGCAGCAAGACTATGGCTGATAATAGCAGTGACGAGTACGAAGAGGAAAATAACAAGGTACAATATAACCTGCGGGTTCCTGTGGGATTTCTGCCTGGGGGTCTTAGTAGCTAGTTTGAGATGGCACCAGGTCAACAGTGCACGTGTTCTTGAGCGCTCGTCTCCAGTGGTTGGGTGCCTTTGAGCTCATGCAGGAAACTCGTGCGGGAGTGGAGCTTTGTGATTTCTACTGCTCTTCAGGAATGAAGCCTGTCCCTCAGCAGACATTTGGTGATGAGTTTCATGTAATGTGGGTCAGTGTTTCCCAGACTTTACTGATCATAAGAATTACCTGGGCTACTTATTTTAAAAATTACATATCCCCACTCCCCACCCAGAATCTAGAAGAAAAAGCAGGGGAATGTATAGGTTCAGCACGCAGTCCAGTCCAGCTGAAGTGAGTTTGGGACTAATTGGTCTAGGCATTTTTTTTCAGTGTCGGCACTTACAATACTGCCTAGGAGAGAGATTTCAATGTTGAAGTCTCTAAGACACAGGTGTCCCTTTGCTGTGGTTCTGTGAGTCTGGAGAGTCATGCCATTTTGAAAGAAAGTCGGCGAGATGCCTGCCTGCCTGACCAGGTGGAGCTTGGGCCACGCGTGTGCTTCGCGCCACAGCCACATGTGTTCCACCCCAGCACGTGATCCAGGGGCTACGTTTCGTTGGCCTTTAAGGACAGGAGCCTTGGAAACTCAGTGAAGAAGAATATCTAAGTGACAGAGACGGAAAGCTGTAGTGATGTGCACTGATTCCACACTGTGCCTAAGGGGACATTTCTAGGTGGCCTCACTCTGTGACTAGGGTGCTGTTTTAATATCTTATATACAAGGTCATCTTGTAGGTGTTTGTCTCTGGTCTATAAACCCTCTGCGTTTATACCAAAGCTTTTGCAAAGCACAACTTTGAAGCAGTGGACAAAATAAAAGTGCAATTTTCCTAAGTTGACCTCTGAATTTTGTGTCTACACTAAATCCTTCTAGTTTCAATGTCTACTCAGGATCAGGGCTTATGTATCTTTCCAATTTGTAAAGCATCGAGAATCAGCAGAAATGATTGACTTTTGAATAATCTTCAAGTTGACAATATATTTTCTTAAAAGTCCCATTTGTGAAAGCTGTTTCCTAGGTGACCAAGGGGTAATTTTGGCATGTCTTGAGAAAGAATAAAAGGTTATCAATTGTACAGCAATAAGGCATAGTCCCAGAATAAATTGTGCAAGTGTATATCATATCTGTCATAAATTATAGATAAGCTAGAATATATCTCTATCTCTAGATAATGAATCTGATATGCTTAGAGGAAAATGCAACCAAAACCAGTTTTTGATATCCTGTAATGTGTCACAATGTTACGTGCCAGTAGTGGCTTTACCATAAGAGAAGCATTAAAATGATTTTTAAGAACTGGAGCCAAGCATCTGTCAATATAAGCCATATGCTGTAAGCTTTCAAAACCTCTTAAAGGGGGCCAATTGGTCATTCCTCAGGTCCTAAGGGAGGGCATGACACAGGCTCCAGGCCACAGAGGCAAAGACATGGACCCCATCCCTACTGCCCCTGCAAGTCCCAAGCGCCACCAGAGCTCTTCTCATGGACTGGAGAGAGTGGGGTGGTACCTAGAGAGCCAGAAACTCAGAAAGGTAGGTTGTAATGCCAAGAACACGAGACCCTCGTGAGACGGAAGCTACGCCTTGCATCTACCTTGGGGGGCCAGGGAGGAGGAGAAATGTCAGTGAATGCAGACGGAAAACCCATCTTCTGGAACCACTGGCCGGAAGTCAGGCGCGGGCTGCATCCCGAGCTCTCTTCTCTCGATGGTTGCAAGCACCTTGCCCTGGGCAGCCTTGCAGATGGGAGACTAGCTGATCTTTGAGTCTTAAGATCCTCGAAAGTTCCCTGCTCCACCTTGCCCCGCTTCCTCCCCGAGTCATTACTGAGAGAGGTGCCGCTCAGCTTTGGGGTTGACGCAGTCGGGGTCACGTCCACGCAGAGCTCTCAGGGTGGCCCCGGGTACAGGAGGGAGGACAGAGCAGCCTCGGGCGGAGGACTGGCACGTGCCCGGTCTGTGGCTGGACAGGAGCAGGAGGCGGCGTGCAGGCCGCTCTGGGCGGGGCGGGGAGCAGTGCGGGCCCAGGCTGGTGTGCTGCCCCTCTCTCACATGGCCCCCTCCGCCCACCCTGCCCTGTCTCAGGAGAGGAAGAAGACCTCCCAGATGACCCCCCAGCGGGGCTTCAGTGAAAACGACGACGAGGACGACGAGGACGACGACGACTCCTCCGAGACCGACTCTGACACCGATGAGGACGAAGAGCACGGGCCCCCTCCGGAAGGGTGAGGGAGGCCGCCTGGCACGCGCGCTCAGGCAGGAGGAGACTCCCTGTCCAGACCCGGGCTGGGAGGGCTTTGGGGGCAGCAGTGTTCCAGCGGCTCTCCTGAGCGCTTGTGTTTAGGGTTCTCAGATGTCTCCAACCCAGCACTGCCTCTCCCAGCCCCGTGCTCTCCCTTGCTCTCTCTGAGACTCGAGGGTTAGATGCTGTTCTTCAGGTAGCTCACGTTCTGAGCCCGAGAAAATGCATGTGTGCGCGGAGCGAAACGGGCCCTGTGCATCAGCCCCTGTCATTTAGGAGCCCCCCATTCCTGCTGCCGCCTGGTGCCACATTAGTCATGACTCACCCCCAGGGGTTTTATTCAAAGTGGATTCTAAGTCCCATCGATTGACAGTGCAATTACGGGTTCAATAAATGATGGCACAGTCAGTCAGTGGCATTCTGCCTAGCCGTTAGAAGCTAGGTGGCCACTTTCCATGCACCGGCAAGGAGCAGTTGCCAGGAGGCGCTGCGCAATTTTTAAAAGATATGAAAGCGTGTTTCTGCTGTGCTATCCTGTGTCTAACGCGAATGTCACACGGACTGTCTTTGGAGGACACACCAGGAACTGGTAATAATGGTCAGTTGGGGTGAGGAACCGCTGGTGGCAAGGGGACAGGTAGGAGTAAGCCGTAACTCTTCACTGTATTTATTTTGTATTTTTTACCAAGTGCATGTATCATAGTAACGTAGTTTAGTAACTATAAAAACAGTGAACCCTGGGTTTTCCACCTGCATGTTTAACCCCGCACTGACGTCCATGGTTCTCACTGTGCTTCGTGATCATATTCTATAAGTCATATTCTAGGGAATGTAAACTTAAAAAGAGATCTATTTATTTGAAGGGCAGAGTTACAGAGAGAGAGGGAAAGAGGGAGAGAGGGAGAGAGATTTCCCATCCGCTGGTTCACTTTGGCCCTGGGCTGGGCCAGGCCAAAGCTGGGAGCCTGGAGCCCAAGTACTTGGGCCTTCTGCTGCTGCATTCCAGTAGGACGCTGGATCAGAAGTGGAGCAGCCAGGGCGTGAACCGACACTCTGATGTGGGTTGCAAGTGGCAGCGGAACCTGCTGTGCCACAGCACTAGCCCTGGGAAATGTAAATTTTAATTCATTGATATATTTAATTTTTTAGAGTAAGTCTCACCAGAAACACCTTATTAACAACCTTATAACCCACTTAATATTTGGCAATGTTTATTTCGTTTTACTTTATTATGGTTAATACATATGCGCTACTGTTTTTTACTATATACATTGTCATAAATCAGTACTTTCTTTTTTTAATTAATATATTTGAGAGGCAGTGAAACAGAGAATCTTCATCTACTAGTTCATCCTTCAAATGTCCACGATGACCAGGGCTGGGCCAGGCTGAAGCTGGGAGCCAAGGGGTGGCGGAGACTCGAGTATTTAGACCACCACCCGCCGCCCCCCAGGGTGTACACTCGGCAGGAAACTGGAATCAGCAGTGGAGCTGGGACAGGAGCCCGGGCACTCTGACACAGAATGCAGCGCCCAAACCCGTCTTTTTTTTTTTTTTTTTTTTTTTTTTTTTTGACAGGCAGTTAGACAGTGAGAGAGACAGAGAAAAAGGTCTTCCTTTTCCATTGGTTAACCCTCCAAAAGGCTGCTACGGCCGGTGCGCTGTGGTGATCCGAAGCCAGGAGCCCGCTGCCTCTCCTGGTCTCCCATGGGGTGCAGGGACCAACAAGCACTTGGGCCATCCTCCACTGCACTCCCTGGCCACAGCAGAGAGCTGGCCTGGAAGAGGAGCAACTGGGACAGAATCCGGTGCCCCAATCGGGACTAGAACCCAGGGTGCCGGCGCCGCAGGTGGAGGATTAGTCTAGTGAGCCACGGTGCCATTAGGCCAAACGCCTGCCCCACACGAGGACTTTGTATTAACTGTGTAAAATGCAGTCTGACAAACCCAACCATCTTCCGAAGTTTGGATATTTCATTTGGTTCCAATGATTTTGCTTTCATAAACATCGTCAAAACATCATCTCTAAAACATTTTTTTCTTGGCGTGAAGTATTTCCATGTCAGAAATCAAAATCTCTTATTCCACATTCTCTCATAATTCCTTCCATTCACAAAAAGGGAAGGCGATTTTTGTTACGGTTTGACATAAAAAGAATTCTGTTTTGGATTTCCTGCAGTTGCGTCCTCCTTCACTGTCAGATGATGGAGAAGGAATTATCACCAGCTTTAAAGCTGCCTTTCACAGCCCTGGATCAGGGCCCGTCCCCGGGTCAGGGGACACACGCTCTGCCGCCTCGCTCTTCTCCGGGCACCTGACCAAGTGGTGTCCCCTTCCCCAGGGCCTACGATCCTGCGGACTATGAGCACCTGCCCGTTTCTGCCGAGATTAAGGAGCTCTTCCAGTACATCAGCAGGTGAGCGCTAGGACCTCGCCCTCCACCCGCCCTGGCTGCCTCACCCGGACCTTGCCTACCTCTAGTCTGCAAGAGGGCCGTCTCCTTCTGTGTCTCAAGCCTGAACAGTAGAGTGGCTTTCTCTGACTGTCTCCACTTGGCCTTGACAATCCCCTAGGTACACACCTCAGTTGATCGAGCTGGATCACAAACTGAAACCCTTCATTCCGGATTTCATCCCAGCTGTCGGCGACATCGATGCATTCTTAAAGGTACAGGCAGTCCATCCTACAACTGGCTCCTTAGATGATTCTCCCGACTGCCTGCCCTCCCTCTAACAATTCCAGTAATTTCCTAGACTGCATTGGCTACAGTGATAACATATTCATTTCACCAGAACCCTTAACCTTGCTCTCTGTTCCAAATTATACTCATTGCTATTAAGTAATATTTTATTATCTCATTATAAATGAAAACTTTGTCATATATTTGTCATCCTAATTATGAATCCAAGATTTATATTTAGGGTCCTATTGATCATATATGTTTTCTTTTCTTTTTAAAAGATGTATTTATTTTTATTTGAAAGGCAGAGTTTACAGAGAAAGAGGGAGAGACAGAGAACTGCTATCCACTGGTTCACTCCCCACATAGCCACAACAGCCAGAGCTGGGTCAGACCAAAGCCAGGGGCTTCTTCTGGGTCTCCAACGTGGGTGGCAGGAGCCCAAGCACTTGGGCCATCTTCCTCTGCTTTCCCAGGCCAATTAACAAGGAGCTGGATTGTAATTGGAGCAGCCGGGACTCAAAATGGTGCCCATATGGGATGCTGGCGCTGTAGGCTGTGGCTTTACCTGCTATACTACAGCACCGACTCTGATAATATATTTTTGTCTAGGTAGTATTTAGTCCATCATGATAACAATCATGCTTTTTTTTTTTTTTAAGATATATTTATTTGAAAGGCAGAGTATCAGAGAGAGAGAAAGGGAGAGAGAGAGAGAAAGAAATATCTTCCATTTGCTGGTTCACTCCCCAAATGGCCACAACAGCTAGGGCAGGGCCAGGCTGAAGCCAGGAGAGTAGAACTACATCTGAATCTCCTACGTGGGTGGCAGGGGCCCAACTACCTGGGCCACCATCCATTGCTTTCCAAGATGCATTTGCAGGGAGCTGATTACAAATGGAGCAACCAAGATTCCAACCAGCGCTCCCGGATGCGATGATAGGGGATGCTGGTGTCACAAGTGGCGGCTCAGTTCACTGCACCAAAATGCCGGCCCCAGCATGCTTTATTTTTTTTTTTTTTTTTAAGATTTATTTTATTTTACTTGAAAGGCAAAGTTACAGAGAAGAGGGAGAGACACAGAGAGACAGAGATCTTCCATGCGCTGGTTCACTCCCCAAATGGTCTCAATAGCAGGGGCTGTTCAGGCCAAAGCTAGGAGCCCAGAGCTTCATCTGGAACTCCCACGTGGATGCAGGGCCCAGATACTTGGACAGCCTTCCACTGCCTTCCCAGGTGCATTAGCAGGGAGCTAGATTGGAAGTGGAGCAGTTCCCAGATGGGATGCTGGCATCGTAGGCAGCGGCTTAAACCCCTCCCCCCACGAGGACTCTGGCCCCGTCCCAGCATGCTTTCTAATACTGGGAACAAGGTGAGCCAGAGAGTTCTTCCTTTTCAGCTGATTGACGCAGCAGGTGTGATCTGTTGCGGCCCTCCCACTTTCCTCTCTGCCTCCTTCCCTTGTTCTTAACCAGGTCCCACGTCCTGACGGAAAGCCTGACAACCTTGGCCTGTTGGTGTTGGATGAACCTTCTACAAAGCAGTCTGACCCTACAGTGCTCTCCCTGTGGCTGACGGAGAATTCCAAGCAGCACAACGTCACGGTAAGAGACTGGCCCATCCCAGGCCCCGCTGCAGAGGGCCAGCGGTGCCATTTGTACCGTGCTTCCTGTCGAAAGGAGTAGCTGTGGCTTTGGGCCAGCTCTGCTTTCGCAGACAGTTTACTCGGGACATAATCTACATATCGTGTAGTTGACCCTTTACACTGCCCCACTCATTGGTGCTTGGTGGGTTCACAGAGTTGTACAGCCATGGTCACCTTCTAATTTAGACACATTCTCATCGTTCCAAATAGAAACACCACGCACATACGGAGTCACTCCTCATTCTCTCCCCCTCCTGCCCAGACGCCGGCAACCACTTCAGCCTCTTCTGGGGCCGCCTAGTGTTTAGTTGTTTGTGTTCACCACGTTTTGTTCACTCACTCACCACTCGTTTCCACATTGATGAGCGATGCTGTGGTGACTGTCAGGATAGCAGTTTTGCATGGGCATACTGTTCTTTCTCTTAGATCCCTGGGTAAGAGTGGGACTGCCGGGCCACAGGCTGTCGCTAACGTTGTCCGCAGTGGCCGCACCGCCGTGCAGTCCCACAGCAGTAACGGAGGGTCTCGGTTTCTCCACAGCCTCACCAGCACTTGCTCTCAGCAGTATTTTTTTTTTTTTTTGGACAGGCAGAGTGGACAGTGAGAGAGAGACAGAGAGAAAGGTCTTCCTTTGCCGTTGGTTCACCCTCCAATGGCCGCCGCGGACAGAATCCGGCTCCCCGACCGGGACTAAAACCCGGTGTGCCGGCACCGCAAGGTGGAGGAATAGCCTAGTGAGCCACGGCACCGGCTTTCAGCAGTCTTGTAGTTCTGGCTCTCCTGTGGGTCAGAAGTGGTGTCTCACTGTGGTCAGTCCTGCCCGTGGACTTGCCCAGAGCCTTCGCTGGGCCGTGGTTAGGCTGCCCTTTTCCTCGACTCCCTTGTATGTGGTGAGTCGCCCCGTTACAAACCAGAGCGCCGCTTCAGGACTGTCAGCCAGGGTCTCTCCTTGTTTTCCCAGCAACATGTGAAAGTAAAGAGCGTGGAAGACGCGGAAAAGAATCCCAAAGCCATTGACACGTGGATCGAGAGTATCTGCGAGTTGCACCGGTCCAAGCCTCCTGCCACTGTGCACTACACCAGGTGAGAGTGCGCGCGCTGTGGCATGCCTCAGTCACCCTCGCCACCTTTGCCACCTTTGCCCCACTGCTCCCGAGAAGAGGCCCAAAGCCTGGGGACCAGTTTGGTCAGCTGCTGGCTGGGATTGCAGACAGAAGGATGCTGATTTCTCTGGTGTCATTATGGGGCCAGCTCCTCTGAGCCCCAGGCCCTGGGGGAATTTGGTTGGCACAGCCTAGGTTCTCCTGCATTCCTCATAGGCCAGAGTGAGGCCCTCTCCTCCCTCTAGGCACATCCCAGTCCGGGGGCTGCTGCTGCCCTCGATCTAGCTTTCTCATCACTGTTACCTCTGTATTTCCAGGCCCATGCCCGACATCGACACCTTGATGCAGGAATGGTCCCCAGAATTTGAGGAACTTTTGGGCAAGGTGAGTGGAAAGGACCAAGAAGTAAGAGAGATGTGGCGGCTGGCGCCGCAGCTCACTAGGCTAATACTGCACCTAGCGGCGCCAGCACACCAGGTTCTAGTCCCGGTCGGGGCGCCGGATTCTGTCCCAGTTGCCCCTCTTCCAGGCCAGCTCTCTGCTGTGGCTCGGGAGTGCAGTGGAGGATGGCCCAAGTGCTTGGGCCCTGCACCCCATGGGAGACCAGGAGAAGTACCTGGCTCCTGGCTTCAGATCAGCGTGGTGCGCCGGCCGCAGCGCGCCAGCCGTGGCGGCCATTGGAGGGTGAACCAACAGCAAAAGGAAGACCTTTCTCTCTTTTTCTCTCTCTCTCACTATCCACTCTGCCTATCAAAAAAAAAAAAAAAAAAAAAAAAAAAAAAGCTAGATGTGGCCCTCATGCCACAGTCCATTGTTTTGTCCCTTACGGTATTATTAACATTTTAGAAATGGAAGTATGGCGGCTGGCATTGTGGCTTAGCAGGTAAAGCCAGTTCCCGTTCTGGCTGCTCCACTTCCAATCCAGCTCTCTGCTAATGACCTGGGGAAAGCAGCAGAAGATGGCCCAAGTGCTTGGGCCCCTGTGACCTGTGTGGGAGACCGGGATGAAGCTCCTGGCTCCTGGCTCCTGGCATTGGCCTGGCCCAGCGCAGCCCCAGCCATTGTGGCCAACAGATGGAAGATCTCTCTCTGCAACTCTGACTTTCAAATAAATCATTTTTAAAAAATAAAAGAAAAATTGAAGTACACCACCCAGTCAGAAGTGTGCACATGCGGTGAGTAGTGGTGCTGCTTTGGCCACTGAGCCCGCTGTGCGCGTTAGGTCAGTGTGCAGAACGCTGCCAGCTTCCTTGGAAGGCCTCAGGCCCCCACCTCCCAAGGCAGCCACCATCCTGACTTCTGATGGCATACATGAGCTTTGCCTGCAGGTGTTTTGTACTTTTTCTAAATTTCTTCAGGATTTTTGTTGTTTTTGGTTTTGTTTTTAAGGATTTATTTGTTTATATGTAAGGCAGAGTAACAGAGAGGGAGGGAAGGAAATCTTCCATCTACTGGCCTGTCGCTCCCCCTCTTCGTGGAGGAACGACACAGGACCCTGCGCTGTTCTTTCTGTCTGCTCGGCCCTCCCCGGGTTTGCTGCTGGTTCCTCCCGGGTTGGCTACTATCCCTTCCACCTCCGTGGAAGTGCAGTTCCCCCTGGCCACATTCCCCACTTCCGCAGGGGAGCGGCACACCGCCGGCCGGCTCTCTCGGGGGCTGCACGGGTGTTCCCTCAGATGTTCCCCTTAGATGTTCCTGGTGCATGCCGTCTCTCTCCTCCTTTATAGTCCTCCTCCGCCAATCCCAACTCGGCTGCCCACACGCCGAGTACGCTGCTCTCCAATCAGGAGCAAGTCCTACAGTTTATTGGTTGAACTGGAGGCAGCTGTGCGGAAGCTGTTTACTTCTCTCCCAACGCCATATTGTGGGAGAGCAGATGCATAGAATAAGTCTTAATTCTAGTAACTCAGTCCAGTCCGGGCTGCTCCCCACAGATCCCCCTTTCTTTTTATTTTTTGGCGTTGATACGTGCCTGTCTTCGGTGTCCCGCGGCACACACTCTGCTCTACTCACTAGAGTTGCCACAGGTTCTTACAAGTCCTATCAATCAGGCAAACCGAATCCGGGTCCTCTCTTCGCCATTGTGAGGAGGTTTTTAGGCGCTGATACGTGCCTGTGTTCGGTGCCCTGCAGCGCATGCTCTGCTCTGCCTGCAGGGGCTTACAAGCCCTAACAAACAGGCAAACCGAATCCAAGCTTTCTCATTGCCGTATTGTGGGGGAGACTTATTAGTGTTGGTTCGTGCCTATCTTCGGTGACCTGCAGCTCATACTCTGGTCGAGCTGCTTGCTGGTGCTTACCGCCTTAATCAGCCAGACCGAATCCAAGCCTCCTAATTGCTGTATTGTGGGGAGGCCTTACTGATGTTAATTCGTGCCTGTCTTCGGTGACCTGCGGCGCATAAGCTGCTAGCCGCCCGCAGGTGCTCATCGCCTCACTTAATCAGGCAGACCGAATCCAAGCTCTCACATTGCAGTGTTGTAGGGAGGCGTTTCTATTTCTCTATTTCTCTATCTCCGGGCATTCCTATTTCTCCCATTCCACTTCTATCTTCCAGCATTCCTATTTCTCTCACTTTACTTCTAAACTTCTATTTCTCTTATCCCTGCAGCTTCCCGGCGCCTCGCCCTGCCGGCAGCTTCACGGCTCCGCGCGGCTTCCCAGCGCCTCGCCCCGCCGGCGGGCTCCGCCCCGAGGCTGCTTCTCGGCGCCTCGCCGGCTCTGAGCCGCTTCAGGCCGCGCCTCTCTCATCTGCGCGGCTCGGCTTTGCGTGCACACTCCGCGGTCTCTCACTAGCCCTTTCGCGTCTGAACCACGGCCTCGCGCCAGCCCCGTTCCCTATCTATTCACGCCCCGTGCTCTCTCTGCACGCGGCGGCTTCCGCGAGTCACACAGCGTAGCTTGCGTCTCCACCACTAACATTCAATCCAAGTTCCCCGGGCTAGCCTGGCGAATTCAACCCAGCTTACATCTCCGCCCCACGGTTTGGCTTCCCGTCCTTTGCTCCCCGGGCTAATCAGACGGATCCCAATCTGGCTTACGTTTCAGCTTCTAGTTTCAACTTTTCGCCCCCTATTCCCGGGCTAACTTGAGAATCCCAAAGTGGCTTTCGTTTCCGCCTTGGCCTGCCCCCCGCGGCTTCAATTTCCCTAACATTTTTCTCTACCCGGTATGTTTCCCCAAGCTTTCTTCCAACAATATTCCTCCCTCATTTCTCCTGGCCTCTCCCCACAGTCCGCGTCCGAGTCTGTTTGTTCTAGCTTTCACTTTCGCTTTCGACCTTAGAGATTTCTCCCAGCTTCCCCCCGTAGTCCGTATCTGAGTCTATGCCTAGGCTTTCAATAGCTTCTTCCGGCACCTCTTTCGTCCGGCTTTTCCCTAGGCTGTTTGCTAGTCTCTCTCTCCGATATTTTCCACTTCTTCCCGTTTCTTCCCTCCTAAGTTTCATATCCGTCCTAAGTTTCCTATCCGAGTCACGGCACCATTATGTCGCTCCCCCTCTTCGTGGAGGAGCAACACTGAACCCTGCCTAGGCTTCATATCCGAGTCACGGCACCATTATGTCGCTCCCCCTCTTCGTGGAGGAGCAACACTGAACCCTGCCTAGGCTTCATATCCGAGTCACGGCACCATTATGTCGCTCCCCCTCTTCGTGGAGGAACGACACAGGACCCTGCGCTGTTCTTTCTGTCTGCTCGGCCCTCCCCGGGTTTGCTGCTGGTTCCTCCCGGGTTGGCTACTATCCCTTCCACCTCCGTGGAAGGGCAGTTCCCCCTGGCCACATTCCCCACTTCCGCAGGGGAGCGGCACACCGCCGGCCGGCTCTCTCGGGGGCTGCACGGGTGTTCCCTCAGATGTTCCCCTTAGATGTTCCTGGTGCATGCCGTCTCTCTCCTCCTTTATAGTCCTCCTCCGCCAATCCCAACTCGGCTGCCCACACGCCGAGTACGCTGCTCTCCAATCAGGAGCAAGTCCTACAGTTTATTGGTTGAACTGGAGGCAGCTGTGCGGAAGCTGTTTACTTCTCTCCCAACGCCATATTGTGGGAGAGCAGATGCATAGAATAAGTCTTAATTCTAGTAACTCAGTCCAGTCCGGGCTGCTCCCCACACTGGCCCACTCCCCAGATGCCCACAACAACCAGTGCTGGCTGAAACCAGGAGCCAGGAACTCCATTCTGCTCTCCCACGTGGGTGCAGGGGCCCAAGCCCTCAGACAATCTTCTGCTGCCTTCCCATGGATATCAGCAGGGAAGTGGCTCAGAAGTGGAGCAGCTGAGATTTGAACCCGGGCTCCTATATGGTCTGCAGGCATTGCAGTGACAGTTTAACTTGCTGTGCCACAATGCCAACCCCTATATTATTTCAACTTAATCACGCTTTGGTGTCCTCTTTAGCCCAGTATTTTGGGATATTTGTCTATATTTTTCTGTGTGATTGTTCATTTGTTCTTGTTTCTATATAGCATTTTATCATATGAATACTTAACAATTTACCCATACTATGATGGCATGTGGGAAGTTTCTAGTTTTTGGTTGTAACAATAGTGCAACTAGGACATTCATTTTTTGTTTTTTAAGATTTATTTATTTACTTGAAAGAGTTACACACGGAGAGGAGAGGCAAAGAGAGAGAGAGAGAGAGAGAGGGGTCTTCCATCCGCTGGTTCACTTTCCAATTAGTTGCAATGGCTGTAGCTGCGCCGATCTGAAGGCAGGAGCCAGGAGCTTCTTCCGGGTCTCCCACGTGGGTGCAGGGGCCCAAGGGCTTGGGCCATCTTCTACTGCTTTCCCAGGTCATAGCAGAGAGCTGGATCGGAAGTGGAGCAGCCGGGACTTGAACTGGTGCCCATATGGGATGCCGACACTGCAGCTGGCGGCTTTACCTGCTACGCCACAGCACCAGTCCCAGGAACATTCTAACATATCTTTTGGTGAACATATGTACTTCTTTTATTTTATTAATTTATTTATATTTTATTTTTTTATTTTTTAAAGATTTATTTATTTAGGTAGAGTTACAGAGAGGCAGAGGCAGAGGCAGAACCATCTGTTGGTTCACTCCCCAAATGCCACAATGACCGGAGCTGGGCTGATCCAAAGCCAGGAGCCTCCCCCAGGTCTCCCATGTGGGTGCAGGGCTCAAGGACTTGGGCCATCCTCCACTGCTTTCCCAGGCCATAGCAGAGAGCTGGATTGGAAGTGGAGCAGATGGGACTAGAACCAGTGCCCATATGGGATGCTGGCACCATAGGTGGCAGCTTTACCCCCTACGCCACAGTGCTGGCCCCAAACCTTATGTTCTACTATGCTATCTATACCTCGGTGGCTTTTTTCTCCCTGCTAAAATGTAGGCTCCATGAAGACAGTTTTTAGTAGTTTCTTGAAGAAACAATGGCTTTCTTCATGACACTTTAAAAGTGTGACTAGGGGACTGGACAGCTAGATTACAGGACATCCCTCAGTGAATACTGTGCCAGGGAACCATGGCAGGGATTATTTTGGCAGTATTAACAGACAGCAGTGGTACATGGTTAAATTGGGAAAAAAGCAGGTAAGCAAATTTCAGAACTGTATGCACTGTTTTTGGTGGAGAGAGAAAAAGTTTTATGAAGGCTGCAGTTTTAAACTTGCCATGTGACTTGTTTTGCCTGTCACCGGGGTACGACGCCATGTCTGTTTTCTCTGTCCCCACGGGGGTCTCAGGACCATTAGGGATTACAACATCAAGTAATTCCTTGGCCATAGCCAGCCACTTCTTCACAGATCCACACAGGAAGACAACACGGCCGTCTAGTTTAGTTACCAAACCCTTTGGTCTGACGGGTCACCCGCCACTCCGGTAGTCACTGAGTGTGACCAGTTCTGCCTCCCTGGGGGCAGGGGAAGCGTGTGGAATGAGTTGGCCATGGCTGCTGTGTGAAGTGCCGCAGGCCAGGAGTGCAAGGTCAAGTTGTGGGCAGGGCTGGTTCCCTGAGGCCTCTCTGCTTGGCCATTTCCCTTCTTCACGTGGTCGTCCTCAGTGTGTGTCTGCCCTGGACGCCGCTTGCGGTGAGACCACCGTTCGGACGGCACTGATGGTCTCAGGGTCACTCAGTGATCTCTCCGCATACACTCACATTCTGTGATGCAATCAACACAGAATCGGGGGGCCGGGGTTGGGGGACACGGTTCAGGCTAGGAGCCCTGGGACTTGAGCCTTTTGACTTCTGATTGAACCCTCGCCCCGTGCAGGTGAGCCTGCCCACGGCCGAGATCGACTGCAGCCTGGCGGAGTACATCGACATGATCTGTGGTGAGTGCTCTCCCGCTCCCCGCCCCTGCACAGATCCTGGCCAGGCTTTTGATAGGCCGTGGGCGTGGGTACTGCCTCCAGTTGAGCCAGCACTCAAGGGTGATGCCTGGGTGCACGTGGCTGCTGGCTGGGGACACACGCACATGCCTGTCACCCCCGAGTTTGTTTGCTTCTGTTTCTAGGAAGTGTGTTTATTTGTTTCTTTGTCTGTTTTAGCCATCCTGGACATCCCTGTCTACAAGAGCCGGATTCAGTCCCTGCACCTGCTCTTTTCCCTCTACTCGGAGTTCAAGAATTCACAGGTGGGCCAGGCATGGAGCCCACCGTGGTCCCCTGCGATCACTGCGGCCGTGTCCCAGGGCTCTGTCTGCAGTTCCCACTGCCCTTCCGAGAGCAGTGGGGGAGGGGGAGGGTGGAGGGTGTGCGCCTCGGGAAGCTGGGGGAGGGTCTCTGGAGGACTGTGTTCTCACAGCAGAACCAAGGGCCTCCTGAGTGGAAGCAGGGAGGAGGTAAAAGAGGCCTCGTCTGTGAATCTGTATTTATTTTCATCGGAGAAGCCGAGCGACAGATTCACTGATGGAGATCTTCCATCTGCTGGTTCACTCCCCACATACCCACACCGGTCAGGGATGGGCCAGGCCGAAGCCAGGAACTCAATCCCATCCAGGTCTCCCATGGCGGTGGCGGGGACCTACGCACTTGAGCCATCATTGCTGCCCGCAGGGCTCACCAGCAGGAAGCTGGGACTGGACCGCAGACTCCCTGATGTGGGGTGCGCATGTCCCAGACTGTGGCTGAACAGCTGCTGCGCCAGACGCTCACCCCTTGAGGCGCTTCACACAGCCACCAGCAGGATGCTGTTTTGGAAGCAGAATTAGGAGACACTAGGAGCTGACGGGTTTGCCAGAGGTTGGTTCTTGCTAAAATGCAGCAACTATGTGCGTACCCTAACTTCCCTCTCTTTCCTCACAGCATTTTAAGGCTCTTGCTGAGGGCAAGAAAGCATTCACCCCTCCATCCAACTCCACCTCCCAAGCCGGGGATGCCGAGACATCGGCCTTCAGCTGAGCCGCTTCCCGGGCAGCGAGGGCACGGCCGGCCCGCAGGCTGCCTTCCTGGGGCGGTGCGCAGCTTCACCGCTGCGGAGACGGGACGAGAAGAACTGGAATTTGCTGAGGGATCCATGGAGCTCGGGCTGGGAGGAAAGCTTAAAAAGATACTTTGTCTGGGATAGGAATGCAATTACCTTCAAGTTCACTGACAAAGATTTTCTAAATAAAATACCCTACCTGTTGTTGTTTCCTGCTTTTCTTTGAAATGAAAGAGAAAAGGCTGTTGGAGCAGAAGGCGGAGGCAAAGAAGGTGGCCTGGTAATAATGAGGTCACGTGCAGGCAGTGTCATCAACCAGCTTTGCCCACGGAGGCCACCCCAGAGCGGGCGTGGAGGGACCCGTTTTGCTCGGGGTCCCTGTCCAGAGAATGCCGGCCTCCGGCAGGCCCCGTCTGGCTGTGCGCTCCCCGCCTCGCTGTTGCAGGAATCCAGGCAGGTGGCTGTGGCTGGGGTCAGGGCGGAAGTTGGAGAGACCGACGGATTTGGGGCATGTTTTGGAGTTAAAGCAAACTCTGGTCAGGAAACCTGAAACTGCACTGCTTCTTCTTTGATTTTTTTTAGAGTTTATTTATTTGAAAAGTACAGTTACAGAGAGAGGGAGGGAGAGCTAGGGACTGAACCGACCCCCATCTGGGTGCCAGCGTCACAGGCAGTGGCTGTACCTGCCCCACCACAGTGCCGGCCCTAGTGACTCCAGGTTCTCCCTGCTCTGAAGCACATCCCAAACCCTGCGAGGGGTGACCTGGGGATTACACGAAGTGTTACGTGGCTGAATCCACGCCCAGAGACTGCGAATAGCGCGGGTGAGCTGCACTTCCTGTCTGAGCTCCTGGCTGTGCCTGGGCTTTTGAGTATCCCTTCTGCTCTCCACCCTGGCCTGAGCCACTGCTTCCAGTCTCCGCTGTCCCCCAGCTCCAGCTGCTCCCTCCTGGCTGCCTGCCCTGCGCCCTGGGAGAGGTCAGTTACCTTCTCTGCCTCCTTAACCATGCTGTAAAACAATGAACACGAGCTCACCTCTTCGGCTCTTCCGAGGGTAACAGATACGTGAGAAGATGAAGTGCCACCAAGCGTAAATCTGCAGCGTGGCTCTTTAGATTTTCCATTTGGCTGCTCTGTCTCCACCCCAAGACCCTCACGTCCACAGTTCCCAGATGTGGACCGCAAAACCCAGCTGCTTGCCACACTCCAAACAGGGCTTGGGAGTTCTCTTCTGACTCAGCCTTTATGGAGGCTGTTTTTCGTGTTGGAAATGTCCCTCCCCGTCTCTGCTGATCCGAGGTCCTTAACACTTCTACAACAAAAGTCAAGCCCAAGTAGTTACATCTTTACGCCTTCCTTTAATCTTACTAAAAAAAAAATGACACGTAAGAGTTTTAATTTTTTGAAAGGCAGAGTAACAGAGAGGGAGAGTTTAAGAGCTGTCCCGGGGCTGGCACTGTGGCATACACCACCTGCGACGCTGGCATCCCACATGGGCACCAGTTCAAGTCCCGGCTGCTCCACTTCCGATCCAGCTCCCTGCTAATGTGCCTGGGAAAGCAGTGTAAAACAGCCCAAGCGCTTGGGCCCCTGCATCTATGTGGGAGACCTGGAAGAGGCTCCTGGCTTCGGCCTGGCCCATGGCTGGCTGCTGTGGCCATCTGAGGAGTGAACTAGAGGATGAAGGGTCTCTCCCTCTATCTCTGTGACTCTTTTGAGAATAAATAAATATTTTAAAATAGAGAAAGCTTTTTCATCTGCTGGTTTATTCCCCAAGTGACTGCAACAGCCAGGGCTGGGTCAGGCCAAAGCCAGGGACATGGAACTTGGCTAAAGTCTCCCAAGTGGGTGGCAGGGATCCAAGCACTTGGGCCATCCTCTGCTGCTTTTCCAGGCACGTTAGCAGGGAAGTGGATTGGAATCAGAGCAGCTGGGACTTGAACTGGCACTCAGATATTAAATGCCAACATTTCAAGCAGCAGCTTAACCTGCTGTGCCATTATGCCTGTCTCAAGAATTTTTGTTTTAAAAAAACCATAAACCAGTTAGGACAGATGACAGAAGAAAATGACCACCGACTATATAAGCAACATAATTTTGGAATGTGGACAAGAGTAACTGATTTGGGGTGGGCAGTTGGGGAAGCAGAGAAGAACTCTGAAACCGTGGAGGAGAGAGCCCAGAACGGAAGCTGCTGGACACCGGAACCCTAGAAAGTGCCAGGAATGGAAAGTGCCAGGCGTTTCTGACGGCAGGTGTGCCGTGCGCGGCTGAGAGCAGGCCTGGTGATTCTGTGGACGGAGTGGGGTCCCAGAAACTTCCCCACCTACCTCCTTGCCCCAACAGAAGATGGACAGCTCTGACCGCGGAGGCTCTGGGCAGGAGCACCTCTGAGGACAGAAGGAAGGGGCCGTATTTAAAATAAGGATTGTGGGGCCGGCGCTGTGCAGTAGGCTGATGCTCCGCCCGCGGCGACGGCCTCCCACGTGGGCGCAGGTTGATGGAACAGAGCCGAGCGTGGGTGCGTGGGTGCTCGCTATTTTCTCCACTGTGTGATTCAGAGATTTCATTTAGAAGGCATTTGAAGAAATGAAGCAAAGACATGGAACTCCGTTCAGTCAAGTTTATTGAATTTACTTTGTGCTTCGCACTGTCCTAGGCAGTAACATGGGAAAAATTATAAAATAAGACCTCAACAGGGGAGAAACACACTGCACCTGGTGCTCTCCTGTCGTCACCACGTTGCTTTTTACAGCATTCTTAGGTTGCTTTGGGGGGTTTGTGGGCTCCCTCTCTCTCCACAACCCCCGGAACTGCTGGCACCACTGCGTTCTGTGCCTGTGGGGACCAGCCCCTAAAGTGCAGAGGGTGGGGCAGCCAGGGCGTGGCCGGGGCCAGGGTCCCACCAAGGGGAAGACATGCAGAGAGAGAAAGCCACCATCGATCCTGAGCCTCAGTCGCTCACAGTGAATGCCAGAGAGGTCAAACTCGGGGCTCTGGGGCCCTCGCTCACCCCCTTCCCTGGGGGCTGTGCTTAAAGTGCCAACACTGTAAAAGTGATGCATAGCTACATGCTGTCCTGAGTGCCACGGACTTGTCACCTCCTCCTTCTACCCTGACTTGTGCTAACACCAGGCACTGGCACTGCCAGGGGCCAGGCCTTTGGGGTCGTCTAGGGCCCCGTGGAGTAAGTCCAGTGTATAATCTTTGATGCCCGGGAGGAGGCAGGGCAAGGGGACAGAGGACAGAGAGGTGTGCAGCAAAAGGGACCAGGCTGTGCTTGGCCAGGGCCCCGGGGCCAGGGGCCGGCTCCTGTGTGGAGGGCAGATGGGCTGGGCAGCTGGGGGGGGGGGTCCTACATTTCCCTGAGGGAACAAAGCTACATAGCACAGGAAGGTCCAGAACGTGCAGGGCCCTCCCTGTCCCCCCACGCAGGCAGCCCCATGCCTACTGTACAGGTGCAGAGGAGGAACGGGACGGGGGCCTTGCAGGCCACGCCACACCTGGATGCCGAGTGACGAGGGAACCCACCTGACGGAAGAGCCCCCCCTGCCTGGGCCCAGCCATCTCGTGCAGTCCCCAGCCTGAGTGAGCACAAGGGCTCAGGCAAGAGGACATCTGTGCCCCTGTGTGTCAGGGCCCAGTGAAACGCATCAGAGGGCACAGCAGCCAGGAGGCAGCCAAGTGGCGGTGGCGTGGCCAGGCCCGGGATGCCTTGGAGCAGGAGTGGGAGGGTGCAGCGGGGCCAGGAGGGCACTTGTCCCATCCTCAGCTCAGAGCCAGATCTCATCGCTGCTCACGCTGGACACTCGATAGATGTAGCCCAGCATTGGGAGGCGGATGAAGCCTGGGGAGGGGGGACAATCAGGGACCCTCGATCCTTGGGGGCCTCTCTGCCCCTGGTACTCAGGATAAGCACGGGAGGGGAGCAGAGAGGCAGCAGCAGGCCCCTCCCTCCCCAGTACCTCGGCTGGTGAGGAGGCCGCCGGGCTCTGGGTCCAGAAGCTCTGGCCGGCTGCTATTCTGAGCCATCTGCTGGTCTGCTGGTTTCCCTGCTGGATGACAGAGAGGGTGGTGCCAGGATGAGGTGCGTGCCTGATGGGGCCGAGCCCCACTGGGTAGCAAGCTCTCCCTCTGTCTCCCAAGCACTTCTGATGCTTTTAAAGCAGGAGCAGCAGGGGCAGGGGGAGAGGAGGGCTGGGCGTACCTCTGCAATCCGGAGTGAGGTCGTTGAGCTGCAGGTTGGACGGGAGGGACATGTTCTCCCGCGGCAGGCGCACGTTGTTGAGTTTCAGGTTGTTGGAGTCACTACAGGGCAGACGGAGGCTTCAGTGCGTGCTGGCACCAGCAGCCCGGGCTCCGGTCCCCACCTGCCTCCAGGTCCAAACCATCCGTCCACCCAGCCCCAGGGAGAGTTACCTAGAGATCAGAGATGGGCGCCGGGAGGGGCCTGAGGAGAAAGAAACCAGGCCGTGACTGCCAGTGCACCCCCCCACGCCGGGCTCCACCCCTGCCCTTTCAGAGCCGGGACCTCAGAACAGAGGCCTCAAATGCCCAGCAGAGATGGGGCTCCCAGTGCCTGCCCCTGCCACCTGGTGTGCAGGGGTGCACGCTGTCTTACCCCGGCCACACTCTGGAAGAGCCCTGCCCAGCCCCACTCGCAGCTCTGGCTGCTACCCACAGCCACCCTCGGCCACCAGTGCCCCCGGCCCTACCTTTGGTCTTCTCTTTCCTGCAGACCAGGCACGCCACCAAGGTGCTGAACCCCACTAGGGTGCCCAGGGCAAGCCCCCCAGCCACGACGATGCCCAGCAGTGGCACTTCCACCCGGGTGGCCAGGAGCCCTGCAGGTTGTGTCCTGGTTAGGTTCCAAGTAGGCAGTGCCCCCACCCCCAGGATGCCCTCAATATTTCTCTGCCCCCTCCTTGCCCAAGGTGGCCAGGGACAGCTCACCCCCTAACCTCCCCAAAGCAACAAGTCCTCCCATGTCTGTGCTATGGTCCCTGCGCCCACCTGAGGCTACGCTGGGCCAGTTGCTGGCAATGCTCACCGGGCGCCGGGAGCGAGGCACTGGTGACTCCCACATCGTTGCTGGCCACCACCGAGAGGTTGTGCGGCAGGCTGCGGAGCTGCAGCTGCACGGTGTGGTTGGTGAGCCAGGGGTAGTTCTGGGCGTCTAGCACCAGGAAGTCGGAGGTGTTGACAGTCACCGGCCCATCCTGGTCGATCCAGGTGACATTGGCAGGTGGGTTGGCACGCACCAGGGCAAACAGGACAACTAAGAGGCCTGAGCCCTCATTTTCCGGGTACTTGGCCCCAACCTGGGTGATCTCTGGCTTAACTGGGTGAAGCAGAGAACAATATGGTGTCACCACGGCCCCTCATCTTCCCAGCCCTTTCTTCCCAAGTCCAGGGCCCTAGACTCTCCTCAGGGGACACAGAAGCAGGGGCCCAAGTGTGCTGGGGAAGCAGCATTTCCTAGTGGTGTCCAGCGTGATTACAAGAGTCTGGATTTGAATGGTGGCTCTGCTTCTCACCAGGGGTATGACTTGGACTCACTGCTCAACCCCTTGGTGCCTCACTTCTCAGACGACCACGAGGACAAAGTGAGTTAATCCTTGCAAAGTGCTGCAACGTTTGTTAAGTGTCTTGCTGGGGGCTGCTGGGGGTCCCCGGGCAGAGGACGCACCCCACCCCGGGGGCACTCACACTGCACGTTGAGGATGACAGAGGCGTTGGCTGGCCGGCCGCTGCCTGGGTCCTGCAGGGAGCAGTTGAGCTCGTGCTGGGCCCGCTGGGCAGTGACAGTGAAAGTGCTGGTCCCTCCGGAGAAGGCCTCCCCACCCACGCTCAGCAGCCTTGACGTGCTGGCCTCCTGCAGCTGCCCATCCAGGTACCAAGCCAGCTGGGGGGTGCCAGGGCCCCCTGCCACCCGGCAGGTGAAGGAGTGGCGCTCATTCTCCCGAAGTGCCCGCTCCGCCCAGGTCTGACCATCGATCTGTGGTGCCAACTCCCCCTGACCTGGAACAAAGCAGGGGGCCTCTAGGGAGGCTCCATACTGTTCTTTGACCAGGCCGAGTCCAGTTGCAGAGGGACTGCAGGCTGGGGGACAGGGCACCGGGGTTCTCTCAAGGGACTGGCTGGACCCATGGCAGGTGAGAGAGGGAAACCTAGCCCGGAGCCCAGGGCTTGGAGTGGGCACCCAGGGCATCGTGCACGCAGCGAGGGGGCTCTGGCCCCCAGAAGCGCTCTGCCAAAGAACGAAAAGGGTGAGTACCTGAGCTCAGGAGGCCCGGCACGAGCAGCAGTGAGTGCAGGAGGGCAGCTGGGCCTGGGGGCAGCGCCATGGCCCTGCCAGGGCCCCGGACTGCTGAGAGAAGGGGCGAGCCGCGCTGTGAGCCAGGTGGGAGCTGACGGGCCCAGCAGTTCCTCCAGGAATTCACTCTCCAGGAACCAGGCATGGAAACACAAATGCAGAATAGCCCACAATAGAGCCCGAAGCCACAATGCACTCACACACGCACAAACACACACCCAGCAGGTGCCCGGACGCGCGTGGGAGCAGGATCCAGCACTGACTCCAGGGGTACAAACCGCACACACCTGCAAGCTTACAGAAGCAGCGAGAGCAATCGGACGCACACAAGCGCACACGAACGTCACCCCCAGAGGACTCGCCTTCCCCCCGGCCCGGACCTCCCTCCTGCCCCATTCCCCATCCCACCTTTCCCAATCCTGGTTCCTGGGGTGGATTGGAGCCGAGCCGGGAAAATCGCAGGCGCGGGGGTCGCCGCAGCGTGCTCCCTCCGCCCCGCCCACTCCCGGACCGCTCACCTGGCTGCCGCCCCGAGCGCAGCCCGAGCGACTGCTCAGGTCTGAAGGGCGCCGCAGTCCGCGGCAAGGGCGGGGGCCGGCCAGGCAGGGCCAATCAATGCCCGACCGCGGGCGCCACGGGCCCTCCCTCCCCAGGCAGGTGGTGGCCGGCCCCGGGCGGGCCTCCTTGCCGCGCTCCCCCGAGCGTCCCTGCCCCTGTGCGTGGCGCGTGGGCCCGACGCAGAAGCAGGCGGAGTCGGTGAGCCCGGCAGCTTTATTGGTTCGGGGCGCCGCGCAGCTGCCCCATCATGTCGGCCAGCATGCGGTTGCACAGAGCGGCGTAGGGGTTGAGCAGCACCAGCTGGCGCCGCGCGAAGGGGCTGCCCAGCCGCGCCGCCCGCTCGAAGTCCCCGCGGGCGTCGTCGTCCCGGCCCTGCAGTCGCGCCAGCAGCCCACGCTGCACGAAGCCCTGGCGGGCGGCGCGGCCCCGGCCGCCGCTCAGCGCCAAGGCGCGCTCCAGGTCGTCCAGGGCGCCTGCGGGAGAGGCCGGGCGGGCGGGGTCAGCGGCGCGCGGGGATGCCCGGTGCCCGGTCCCCCGCGCCTCCGCGGCTAAGCCCGGCGCCGCAGGCCGTGCGGGTCCCTGAGGCGCCGAGCCGGGCCATTTGCACGCGCGGGTTTGCCCATGGAGGTGCGGGCCGTGGTTCCCCTTTGACGGATGCAGACTGGGCTGCACAGCCGCTTAGAGGCGGAGCTGGGACCAAAGGTCAGGCCTCGCCGCGCTCCGCTGACTGTCCACCACGAACACACCGAGACACGCACGTTACGGGAAGGACCCTGCCCCGGTGCCCCTGCAGGTGGCGGCAGGCCATTCCCCTTAATAGTTATGCTTTTACTGTGTTCCACGTGACTCATCCTGAATCTCAGTTAACCAGGTTATACGTAGGGCTGGGGCACAGCGGGTTAAGCCGCTGCTTGGGTCGCCAGTAGCCTCTATGGGCACTGGTCCTGCCTGCCCCTCTTCCGATCCAGCTGCCTGCCAATGCGCCTAGGAAAGCAGGAGAGGATGAACCAAGGGCTTGTGACCCTGCACCCACGTGGAAACTCTGGTGGTGTTCCTGACTCTGATTAAGGCCATCCGGGGAGCTGAAACGGCAGATGAAAGATCTCTCACTCCAACTCTGCCTTTCAAATAAATAAGTAATTTTTTTAAAATTATGCTTAGCTGCACAGTCCTTGCAAATGCAGTAAAGTCAGCTTTTCATTCTTTTCCTTTTCAGGTTTTTTTTTCCCCTTCCATGCCTTAGAAGTTCTCTGTTCCCTATGGTCTGCACTGATGGCCTCTCCTCATTCTTCCATTGTCTCCTGGATCTTCCGTGTTTCCTGTACAGTACTTGAGGTGGGCCTCTGCGGAGGTCTTCAGTAAGATCCCCGACAGCTTCCTCCCTGTCTTCGCCTCAGTTCACTTCCGGTCTGGATCCCTTGGGGCGCTCCAGCACCATCCTGGAGCAAGGCCGCCTTCCCCCAGCAGGAGCTGTGCTCCCCGCCCCACCCACACTGCCCAGAAGCTCCGGGATTGCTGGACTGGAGGAGCCCAGGGCCTCCCGGAGGAATCACCTTGCTTCTCTACAGGGTTTCAGTCAGCGGCTTGTCCCCGGCTGCCTGGAACAGTGGCGCCTGCACAAAGGCCTCAGGTCTCCATTATTCCCAGAAAGGAGCGTGAACTCCAGCCTGGAGTCCCACCACCACTGCTAGTCCTACCCATTCTGCTGTTCCCTCCCAGGCTTCTGTGGTAGCACCTTGCATCAGCCTGGACTCTGGTCCCCAGCACAGTCCCCTGTGTCTCCGTGTCCCCACTTCAGCCCGAGTGACCTGAGAACAGCAGGTGCAATCCAGCTACTCCCTGTAAAACCCTCGTGATCCCCCGTGGTTTCAACAAGACACAGGGCAGTCACGGGCTGGCACTCCCTAGTCTTTCTGCAGGCGCAGCGTGGGCGTCTGTCCACACTGCCTGCTCCAGCCACCCTGCCCCTGTGCCTGCCTTCTGGTCCTCCGCAGACTCTACTTTCTCCTGCTGACCCAGCCAACTCCTCATCCTTCCAAACCTGCCTTTCAGGGACAGGGCCCCTGCTGACCCCTCTCGAGCCTGCTACGCCGCTGTCCCAGTGCCCGCTCTGCCCGCTGGCCTGCCACCTGCTGCCTGTGCCCAGTCAGATGATGGCAGGCAGGGTATTTCCCCTCCCTGGGCCTTGGTGTCTTTATGAATGAAATGGCAGGCAGGGTATTTCCCCTCCCTGGGCCTTGGTGTCTTTATGAATGAAATGGCAGGTAGGGTATTTCCCCTCCCTGGGCCTTGGTGTCTTTATGAATGAAATGGCAGGTAGGGTATTTCACCTCCCTGGGCCTTGGTGTCTTTATGAATGAAAGGGGGATGACCACACTGGAGATTGTTGAGGGGTTGCGGAGATTGCCCGAGTTCCCACAGCTTCTGTCACTTAGGGACTGCTGTATACTGTATATATACTGTAGTATACTGTGTGTATACTGTAGCATACTGTGTATACACTGTAGTATACTGTGTGTATACTGTAGTATACTGTGTACATGCTGTGGTATACTGTATATATACTGTAGCATACTGTGTATATACTGTAGTATACTGCATATATACTGTAGTATACTGCATATATACTGCAGTATACCATGTATATACTGTAGTATACCATGTATATACTGTAGTATACTGTGTATATACTGTAGTGTACCATGTATATGCTGTGGTATACTGTATATATACTGTAGTGTACTGTGTATATACTGTAGCATACTGCAGCATACTGTGTATATACTGTAGTATACTGTATATACTGTAGTGTACTGTGTATATGCTGTAGTGTACTGTGTATACACTGTAGTATACTGTGCATATACTGTAGTATGCCGTATATATACCGTAGTATACTGCAGTATACTGTGTATATACTGTAGTATACTGCGTATATGCTGTAGTATACTGTGTGTATGCTGTAGTATACCATGTATATGCTGTGGTATACTGTGTATATACTGTATACCATGTATATACTGTAGTATACTGTGTATATACTGTAGTGTACTGTGTATATGCTGTGGTATACTGTATATATGCTGTAGTATACCGTGTATATACTGTAGTATACTGTATATACGGTAGTATACCATGTATATACTGTAGCATACCGTGTATATGCTGTAGTGTACTGTATATATGCTGTAGTATACTGTGTATATACTGTAGTATACGGTGTATATACTGTAGTATACGTATATATACTGTAGTATACTGTGTATATGCTGTGGTATACCGTGTATATACTGTGGTATACTGTATATATACTGTAGTATACTGCATATATACTGTAGTAGACTGTATATATACTGCTGTTAGGTGTCAGCAGTGCATCTTTTCTCTCTGTGACCTCAGTGCCTGCCCTGGTGCCACACAGTTGGCGCTCACTGCTCCTTGACTGCACGCATGCACACCACTCTCTCACAAGAGCTCCGTGAGATCAGCAGGACCTGTTCCATAGCTCATCCTTCTTAGCAAAGAACACAGGCCCTGGGGGGCTCTGGGAGCTCCCCACGCCCCCAAGCCTAGCCCCCCTCCCCCCGGTCTCTGGGCAGTGCCCTCTGAGGACCCCTTCTGCAGGAGCTCCAGGCTTCACTGCTGCTCACCTGCCACGTCTCCTTGGAGTCGCCGGGCCTGGGCTCGGTTGTTGTAGGCTGAGGCTCGCTCAGGCAGCAGGTGGATGGCTTGGTCAAACCTCTCCAGGGCTGTGCCCAGGTCCCCAGCCTCAGCTGCCATCACCCCCTGCAGCTCCAGGGCCTTGGACTGCTCCAGCTGTGCTTGAGGGAAACCTCTGTCTGCCCAGAGGGGACAGGTGCGATCAGGACCAAGAAGAAAACGCATCTCAGGGCGACCTGAGCCAAGGCTGTCTGGGTGTGGGTCACAGAAGGGGTCAGTTGCAGTTTGGGGAGCTGAGGTCATCATGGTTGGGAGCTGGCATTGCCCGAGTTCCAAAGAAACCTGGGGGCAGGTCTTGGTTGGCCCCCGATTCATTGCCAAGGGGCTCCCATCCCCAGTTCCTTAACTTGTAGTTTAAGCACTCAAGGTCGCACAGCCCCTAAGTTGCAGAGCTTGGGTTTGAACACAGGTCTGTGGCTCTTTAGCTTGTTTCACTCTCCTACTTGTCCTACACAAAGCTTCTGCCCAACACGTGGGAGACCCAGAAGAAGCTCCTGGCTTTGGCCTGGCCCAGCCCCAACCATTGCGGCCATTTGGGGAGTGAGCCAGCAGATGGAAGATCTCTCTCTCTCTCTCTCTGCACTCTACCTCTCAAATAAATAAATAAACAAAATATTAAAGGGGGGGCACTGTGACCACCCTACCAGAGCCTGAGGATCAGCTCGGATCTACCCCTGAGCCTTTCAGCCTAAAGTCCCCATAAAGCTTGGGCTTCCTAACCAGAAACAAAGGGCATCAAAACTCCATGAGGGGGCCGGCGCCGTGGCTCACTAGGCTAATCCTCCGCCTAGCAGATGCGTCTGCCCGCATGTCCGCTCAGCCACCCCCTGCCCTTTTTCCATCGGCCGTTCTGCAGGGGGTCATGTTCTCTGTTACAGCAGAGGTATTAGCACAGTCCATGGAGCGGGCCGGACAGACTGGCGGTCTTTGTCACATCCTTGTCACCAGGCATACTAAGGATCAGCCGAGCCCTCAGGTTCCAAGCTCAGCCGTAATCCCGGGGTCATGGAACAAGCTCTGTGTGCACTAGCCCATGCGCAGAGCCACTGTCCAAGGCCAAATGCTCACCTTCATCGGCTTCCTCCTCCTCTGCGTCTTCTTCCGGGTCCAACCCCACAACATCTCCAAACGGGGTGTTGGGGTTGAAGATGGCCTGCAGCACGGCGCGATCATTCGGAGTCGCCATGGAGCTGGGCTGGGGTGGAGCCGGCAGCAGGCAGCAGGCAGCAGGCAGCAGGCAGCAGGCAGCAGGCAGCAGGCAGCCGCCTTTCCTGGGACAACCTCTTTGTGGCTTGAGCTCAACCCCTCCAGCATGGGGTCAGCGACCCTGGCTAGGCAGAATATTTACAGTTCTTTCCCCACTGCCCTCCTTTCCCAACACAGAACAAACAAATCCGCTCCAGCCTTAAGGTGGGGCAGAGCACAGCGCGCTGCGGCCTGTCACCCAGCCGGAATGATTTGGTTTGATTATGCATTAAGTATTCACAGTTGAGAACACTAAACTCGTTAGGTCCTGGGCATCCGTCTCTGGTGGGTAAGGGGACAGAACGGGGCTAGAACAGCCAGCCTGGAGTTACCATCTTAAAAGAATGGGAAGGTGCTTGAGTAACCAGGTCACGCCCCCCCAAGCCAAAAGGAAGCTCAACCTTGTGCAGCAATAAACTTGACATGTTTATTAATTAAACTATCACTTAAATAAAAAAAAGTGCATAGAAAATAAACATGTTTAAAAACTCCTTTTTTTTACAAGTATGTACACGTTTACTTTTACATTCAGTCTTTCGTAGAGAGCTTTCAGCATTATTATTTTTTGAACTATTAAAGTATTCTCCTTCGTCCCTGTCACAGGGAGTTAACACTGATGGACTTTAGACACATTTGCCCTTTTTTTTTTTTCTCTTTTTCTCTAACCAGAAGCTTGGAAGAACACAAGGAAAAAATAACAAAACAAAAGATCTGTTATACATGATAAAGTTGTCAAGAAATGTCTTATTTCTAGAAAAGAAGCTTGTCATCTGTTGAGCTCTTGAAACGATTATTCAGCTACCTGTGTTTACTAAAGAGACTGGTAAAGTTCAAGGAAAGAAACAGCACGAGTCTGTTTTCTTGGTTGAGAGACAGAACTAGAGTTACCTCAGAGCAGGACACCAGGAAAGCACAGAACACAACTGTCCCCTAAGTGCAGGTGGAAACCCCGACATTCATGGCAGAAACAGAAACAAGGATACAGGTACCGACTGGCAACATTCAAGGGCAGAAAAAAATCCAGGTGACACCATTTCTGCATCTCTCTCTGGTCCCGGGGACGGCCTCGCTTCCCATCCCCCTGTGGTCTGAGTCCCCCGTCTCGGGGACCAGAGGAAGGCTAGCCTGACATTTTCCTGCCGCTACTAGCAACTGGAACACAATCCTTATCTATAGTGTTAAGAGAATTAGAAGCCATGGACTGAACTAGGCTTTGTTACATGGTACATTACTATATTAGTTCCTATATATATCATATTTATATTTATTTGAAAACCAAAACAAACAGAAAAGGTTGCAAGTTTTCAGAGTGAGAGACTTGACTGGTATCAGAACCATCTGCTCAATACCCTTGTATTGCTTTAAAATGAAGGGAATGAAACACAGAATGACACCCAGCCCTTTGCGATGACCCGCTTTTCCTTTAAAACAAAAACAAGGACAACTTGATCTCGATTAAAAAGAAAAATCCCAAATCAAACTTAAAAGTTAACATCTGACAAGGTTTTGACCTTTAGTATTTTCAGATATTTGATTGAACGCCAGTCCTTTAGAAAGATACATTCATTAAAAGATTTTTTTGTTTTTCGTGTGTTGTTGCATTTTTTCTTTTTTTTTCTTTTTTTGTTTTTGTTTGTTTGTTTGTTTTTGAATCAAGGTTGCTGCATGGTGCTCACTGCATTGGCCGGGGGTGAGACGGAGGTGAGCAGGGTGGTGGACTGGGTCCCGGCCAAGGAGTCTTGGTTGAGAACTTCTAGCTGCCAAGGCTTCCCCCTTAACTCTTGTTATTGGTCTAAAAACAGGAGGGGCTGTGCTGGGGTGGTGGGCAGCCACGGAGGGAGCCAAGGGACCGGGTTCCGGCCGAAGGGGCGGCGGCGCCACGCAGCTCTTCTGGTCACGCAGTTGTCACTGGCCACCAGGAAATGCAGCCACAACAGGTTCTAGCAGCAAAGCGAACGTGAGCTGGCTCTCACTGAGAACTGACCAGGTTTGCAGCTGTTACTCCTTAGGGATCTGGGATGCCCCTTGGGGGATTCTTGGGAACGACCCACCGCGATTCCTCCGTCTGCACTTTTGTGCGGGGATTCCTCGGTCACTTTCCAAACAGACTCAGACACGTTCTGGAGACAGCTACGCCATCCTTGCCTTCTTCCCCTCTGCGGGGGGAAGCCTTAGCTCATCCCCCAAGTTGCTGGCAGGTGTGCTGAAATTTTTGGCAATGGACTCAAGGCTGAGCTGAAAGAGCAATTTCTCATTTCTGTGGTTGATGGTCGGGGGTGGAAAGGCAAGGCAAACCAGCTGCTGCTGGCAGGAGAAGGACAGATGTGGTTCCTCCCCTGTCCTCGGGGTTCGGGGTTGGAGGAAGAGAACGAGGGGGGGCTCACAGTACAGCGCGGCCTAGGAGGGCAGTCACTAGGTCTATTTAGCTGAGTTCCCCCCACCCCTGACTGGCCTTGGGTCTTTCTCAAGGTGAATTCATGACCCATCAGTGCATTAATCGTTTCAGTAACAAACGCAGCTTAAGTTTTTTTTTTCTTTAAAAAAAATAGGAATACAAGGATTTACAAAAAAACCTCACACAGTGCAATAATAAAGGAAAGCAGACACGAGTGGAGCCCCTCGGGCCACTGCGTCTTGTTCACGGGCAACAGGACGGGGAGGGGAGGTCTGGGTCGAGTGCTTTCCCCAGTCCCCTGCTGGCACTTCTCCATGGTGACGAGGAAGCCTCTGCCATCCTGGCCACAGTGCTGGGCTCCCTGCATGACAGTGGACACAGTGACAATGTTCCAGCAAAGCCACCAGGCGAAAGTTCTTAAGGTCACAGAAGCAAAGGAGCCCAGGATGGAAGGCACAGCAGAGCCACGAGTCCTGGGGGCAGAGAGTGCTGGGCCGAGTCGTATTGCTTTGCTAGACTTCCCTAGGCATGACTTCCCGCGGCGAGGAAAGGGCGCCCCACCCTCTCCTTGGACTACACTGCTCTGAGCCCTGTGGCGGAGGCAGATCTGCTTTATCGTGAGTGGTCAGACTGTGCTTCAGTTTCAACGGGCTGCCCCAAAGAGGGCACGCGGGGATCAGCGGGTGCTTTGCAGGAAGGAGGGCGTGGTGGGCGGAGGGGACGGAAAGGAGGCGACCTAAAGAGGCAGATGGCGATGGAGGCTGGCAGGTGCCGTCCACGGGGCGGCTGCGGACTCTGCCGGAGGAGAGCTGAGGAAGGTGCGCATCACCTCCCGCCGCTCTGGGGCCGAGCAGGAGAGGAGGGAGACAGTTCTGGGAGGAGGAGGAGGAGGAGAGGGAGGAGGAGCAGGAAGTGCTGGAGCCGGGTCCTATACTGCAGCCTTGGGAGGAGCCTCCACGGGGAAGGAGGGGAGTGGCCCAGTGCAGCTGGGTGGCCTTCCTTCTCCGTGTATTGTCAAAGAGCGGACGGGCACAGACTAGCTACACGTGAAACGACGGAGAGGACACCTTCCAGGGGGAGGGGTTGGGCAGGGAAACCAGACTTGGTGTGTACAGCTGAGTATTTTCTCTAACTTCATCCTATGAAAATAAAAAATTATTAAAAACCGATCTTCTTTTAAATTAGGATAATACCGCGGTTTTAAAAAATAGCCTTGTCATAAGTGCTTCTCCCTATGAAGTGCTTCTCATAGAAAAATATACAAAATATATTTACATTTATAAAACCTTAAATAGTAAACTGTAAACAGAACAGAGTAAAATCCAATGACTTAATTTAACAGGTTCAGGACACTGTCTCGGGGGAAGGGAGAGAAGAAACGTTTGCTGCTGTTCTGACCGCGTCCCAGGGAGTCACCAGGGCAGTAGTGTCATGGAATTGACTTTATCCATGGATCGCGCACAGGCGGCAGAGTCCCCTCCACACAGGGTGGTCTAGTCCCCAAGTTTAGGGTCTTGAAATCGGATTAGTGTTCTGCCTTCAACCGGACACTGACCGTTTATGAATGGAGTCTTCCTATGTCTTGGCAAGGGGCAAAGAAAGGAACCTGGCCTAGGAACGGGGCCCAGGGCGCATCCCGGTGGTGATATTCTGGGTGTGGCATGATTCAAATCCTATTTAAATAATCTTTTTCTTCTTCTAAAAAAAATCATGCTACATATACTTCCCCAGAACTCTCACAGGAGCTTCACGGACATGACTCCAAATTCTGTCTGGTTATGGCCACTGGCTCCTGTCCACCTCCCCACCTGGAGTGCTCCCAAGGTCAGGGGACTTTCTGAAGGCACATCCTATGCCCAGCAGGCAGTGCCCTTGAGCAGGGAGCCCACCCCCTACCGCCCAGAAAGAAGAATGGGAAAGCAGTGGGATGGAGGACAGGGCAGAGGAAGGAGGCCGAGTGAAGGGAGGACCGAGAGAGGGCAGCGGCTCCTACTGTCAGGGAGAGGATTGGCTGAGACAAGGCGCTGGGGTGACACTCCCCCTTACAGCCCAGGGCTCAGTGTTTGCAAAGGAATTGGCAACAACCCCAAGACAGCCTTTGGACACCAGAGGTGCTGGGAATTCTGCTTCCCAACCACGTGGAGGAGGGCAGGGAAAACCGCCAGAGCTTCTCTGCTTGCTCCCAGGCGGCCCAGGGCGGCGCCTGGCTGGCGGCCCAGCAGGCGTCCAACAGAGCCTAGCCCCCTGCAGCGCGGGAAAGGGCTGAGGCGAGGCTAGCCATTTCTCTCCGGGGAGAGCGTGGGCCCAGGCTCCCCACGTAACTACCCCTCCCTAGGCTCCTCCCAGGCGAGTCTGCTCAGGACCCCATCTCCCAGAGGGGCCCCAGGAGAAGGCTGATCGTGGATCTTTTCTTCGACACCTCCTCTCTCTCCAGGACTGCCAGCTCTCGTACAGCGCGACTATGGGGCGGCAGGGCGCTCAGGCCCCTCGGTGGTGCCCACTCAGTCCATCCTGGAGCTCCTCGCTGCCGTGGCTGGCTGTAGGTCCTGGCGCTCTGGCGCCGGGGGCCGGAGCAGCCTCAGTTGAGGAACTTGCGGCATTTCTTGGCGCCACAGTTGCAGGGCAGCTTGTTGCTGGCGTCCTCAATGGGGAACTTGTAGTCGTAGGTGAGCTCCTCCCCTCGGTAGATCTTGCGCATGGCGAAGATGACAATGTGCTTCTGCCCGTCGATGTTGATGACCCGAGAGTAGCAGTTGGGCTCGCACGAGTGGCTGATGAAGCGGGGAGCGTTTCCGTGCATGGTGGCGTCCACCACCTCCGAGTCGTCGATGCGGAACATGTAGCAGCCGATGCCCTGCACAGAAACAAGAACTGGTTACTTCTCAGAGCCCAGGCCTAGTGAGCCCGAGTCCCAGCCTCCTCCTGATGTCACCTCTGACCACGGGTGAACACAGTTTCTTCCAGTAAAACCTCCAGGTGTCTCCCAATTCCCATCTCTCAGGACGTCTCCATGAGGAATGCCCAGAGTACAAGCCCTAGACTGTAGTTCCTTAATGGCTCTGCAGGAAAGAGACACCTAAAACATGGGAGCTGTGCACTTCTGATCCTGGGAATCACTCAGACAAACCTTCCAAGGGCATCTTTGTGTACTAATCCTCCGACTGGATTCCAGACTTTCACTGGTCCCATTAAAAATGTCAAAGAGGTGAAAATGTAAAAAAAAAGCCAGGAAGTCTTTGCATCGATGCACAGGCTATTTCTTTCGGATCTGGGACTCATACTGAGGGTTGATGGCCCCTTTCTACAGCGAACAGAAGAGCTGGGAGGGCGGCAGTGGGAGGCCCACCTTGCTGTCGTAATACTTCTCTCGCTTGTCGGTCTGGATGGAGCGGATGACGTTGCCGGCATACTCAATCACCATCTCTCCTGCATCAATGTTTCTCTTACAGAAAAGCCCGCGGCCGTGAATGGGAGACCTGGGACGTAAAGACGGAAGCGGGATGAGGCATAAACTTGGCAAGTGCAACTGTGTGAATACAGAATAAGTGACACATTCCCCAAGTCTGCTGTTTTCCCAGATGGACAGACTACTGAGGGGAAAAAATTTGGACACACCTGGCTTGTATATATTCATTGTTCTAACAAATGGCCAAAGACAGAAGATTTCTTCCCTCTGTAGCTCACAAGAATTACCAATATTTAATGTTTACTTGTTCAACATAAGGAGTTGGAAGAGTCCCGAGATATCAGGTTTAAGGAGTAACTTCTATAAAAACCTGAGTGACTGACGGAGGTCACTCCAGCATATGGTTCCACATTATTTTGGAAATGCATTAACTTTCTAGAATTCTTTCTAGAATTTTAGCCATACCTGTAGACACCAACCGCTTCCTTAGAAGTCTTTTTTAAGTGCCGGAAACGCATGGGCATTGGCAGATCCATGCTAGTTGCCCTCCTAAGAGACGAAACATAGTATTGATGAATTCCATTCAGGAAATAAAGCTTTGAGTCTTGGATTGAAGGCTTCCAGGGAATATGAATACACTCTTTGTTCAATTCCAATCATAACAAGTGCCTTATACAGTGAGGCCCATTTTAAAAAGTTTTATTCATTAATTATTACTTATTTGAGAGGCAGTGACAGAGAAATGGGAATAGACAGAGAAAGAGAGAGAGAGATCTTCTATCTGCTAGTCCACTCCCAAGCTAGGAACCAAGAATTCAACCCGGGTCTCCACACGGACAACAGGGACCCAAGGACTTAGGCCATCATCTGCTACCTCCCAGGCACAATAGGAGGAAGCTGGATTGCAAGTGGAGGTGGAGCTTGGCCCCAGGCATCCCAAACAGTGGCTTAACTTGCTGCTGTGCCACGATGCCTGCTGCACGGCCCAGTTTTTCTTTTCTTTCATTTTTTTTTTAAGATTTATTTGTTTATTTGAAAGTTAGAGTTACACAGATAGAGAGAGAGAGAGGTCTTCCATCTGCTGGTTCACACCCCAATTAGCCACAACGGCTGGAGTTGCGCTGATCCAAAGCCAGGAGCCAGGAGCTTCCTCCGGGTCTCCCACGCGGGTGCAGGGTCCCATGGACTTAGGCCACCCTCTACTGCCTTCCCAGGCCATAGCAGAGAGCTGGATTGGAAGCGGAGCAGCCAGGTCTTGAGCTGGCGCCCATATGGGATGCCGGTGCTTCAGGCCAGGGCGTTAACCCATTGCGCCACAGCACTGGCCCCACGGCCCAGTTTTAATATGCGAATTTACCTGTCTAGTGCTCTCTGCCTGTGATGACTCTGGTGGATGCCCAAAGCCCACAGACTATTAAAGAAAATATGCATTTTCCAGTTACTTGAACTTTTCCTCTCTAACTTCTATTCCTCTCTTTACCAGCTGGCCACTGCTGCTTACTTAGACTGTATGTTGGTCTTGCAAAGTGTTAGGAAAGCCTGGTTCAGGAGGAAATGGTCCCACCCACGGCAGACTCACCGGGCTGACTTCAGCTGCACTTCCTCCTCTTCCTCATCATTGGGGTTGTATTCAGGAGGCTGCCGATGTTTGGAAGCCAGGAAGTTAAACATGTCAAATGCTGACTTCCTGGAGCCAAAAGATTAAAACCCATTTAGCGAAATGCTTTAAGGCAGTAAAGAATGATGGCATTAGCATTAGAAATCTCAATGGTTATGTGGGAAAATAACTGTAACATTAAATAATAAAACCAGAGCCCCGAACTCCTTACAGAAAAGAATGCAACTTGCCTCAGGTGGACTTCAGCCCTGGCTGAGCCATGAGGGTTCAAGGGAGGTTCATTGGCCTCCTCTGGTTTGTGGAAACGGAATTTGTAATTCCGACAGTGCTTGGCACCAGAGAGCTGCTCAATCAGGAACACAACTGCATCGTGGAGAATCCCCAGCATCCTCAAACCATTGACACCTGTGGGAGCAAAGGCACCTGGGTAGTGAGGCGTGGCCGCCAGCGGGGAGTGGCGCAGTGCTGCGCTTCAGCATCAACAGCAGCTGCCTCGAGGGGGTGGGACTCCTGCTGCTCCACGGTGGTGGTGGCGGCTTGTCCATATTTTAAGTTTTTGTTTGTCTTGGCTAATTTTTTTGTTAAAGGAGAAAAGTTGCAATTAGATGCCGAGTTTTTGTTTCATTTAGAGAATTTCTAAGAGTTAATTTGGTTTCAATGGCAAACAGTAAGGTTAAGTCTTTACATAGGCAACATTCTTAGGAGCATAACTTTTGGTACAATCAGAACACTAAAGTCTTAACATCGGTCTACAATGCAAGAGCTGAAGCTACGTAAGGCAATAGCAGTAACTTTTTTTTCTAAAGAACAGTGATTTTTCTCCAAGAATTTTTCTACACTGTTGTGGATTCTTGGGTAGAAAAACACTGCAAAACATAGGAATTTTCACGTACATTCTCTCGGTTCATCTCAATATGCAGGCTGAATGTTCTACATTCACTGAAGGGCTGACAGTGAGATGAGGTATTGTGTTGCTAACAGGAAGGCAAAGCTCACAAAGCTGAGCTCACAGCACCCACCCCAGGGCTCCTGTGTTTACGGAATTTCCGTTCCATGGAAGAGACAGACTAAGCCAGCACAACAAAGGCATTCCCACTTGGGGCTGTTTCCTCTGCAGGGGGAACTTCCGCTCTAGGTCTGTACACGAGGCTTCTTCTCACCATCACTCAAGTCGAAGCTCCGATGTCATGGCATCAGGAGGCTCCTCTTCTGGACTGCCTCGTCTAAAAGAGGTTCCCCGCCACGAACAACCTACCATTACCACTCTCTGTGTCACTTCCCCGTGTTACCTTCCTCATAATACCCATATGAACACAAGGGTGCGTGGGCAAGGACAAGGAAGCACTGGAGATGGACACTGACCCGCTTTGGACTGGGGAACAGGGAGGTCGTTGTCATGAACCTCCAACATCCCTTCCATCCCAGATCAGTCTCAGCCATTCCTGGGGATTCTGGTCCCCTTGCTGGTGACTAGCTTAAAACGGACATGGGGCTTCATCTGGTCTACGATATGTGAGGCGTCCAATTGTGCCTGATAAAAGCCCTGCCTGTTCTCTGAACAACGCGGTGGCAGAATGTGACCCTGGGGAGTATGGCAGCCATTTGCTATTAGCTTGAACGTGAAGCTATCTCCTGGAGAACAGAGGGGAAAGAGGGAAAGAATTCAGGTCTTTGAGGACACTGAGAATTCCCACACAAATCAATCCAGGTGTCTGTCCTACCTCTGGACTTCCTGTCATGCTAAATGATGAATTATCTCACTGTTTAAACCTGTTAAGCTTGGGGTTTCTGTAGACACAGGGGAGAATTTCAGTCAAAAGCACTAAAGAAAAGAGGTGATGTTGAGCAGGGTCTAGAAAGGAATTCAGGATTCTGAGAGAAGACACAGTTCCTGTGTGAACCACGGGATGCTAATGTGGACACACGTGTGAAATAAGCGAAGATGCTTACTCGGCGGTGCACGTGAAAAATTCACCTTTCTTCTTCTGAACCCAGAGATCTCAGTTCATATCTGTGGACAGTACTTTAGGACTTCGATCTGGAATAATAAATAGTGCGCTGCAGCTGCAGAAAAAGCAATCTTGAGGAAAGTGGTGAGCACTGGGGCCAGATAGATGAAGTCAGGCTAAATATGATCTGGTCCTGGAAAAAGATCCACCTATTGGAAACCTCAGAGACGCAGGGTCCAGTCTGCTTCTACTCAGTGATTGTATCCTGAGTGCTTTGTTATTTTGAAAGGCAGACAGAGGGAGAGACGGAGACACACACACACACAGAGAAAGAGAGGGAGGGAGGTATCTTCCATCCACTGATTCACTCCCAAAATGCCCACAAAGGCCAGGTTGTGCCAGGCTAAATCCAGAAGCCAGGAACTCAAGCTCAGTCTTCCACACAGGTGGCAGGGATCCAAGTATTTAAGCCATCATTTGCTGCCTCCCAGGGTTCATATTAGCAGAAAGTTGGAATCAGAAGTGAAACTGGGACTTGAACCCAGACATCCCAAGCTATGTCTTAACCACCGTGCCAATGCCCACTCCATGCTGAGTGTTTAACATGGTGTCAGGCATATTACAGGTGTTCAATAAACACTTACCAACAACAAACACTTAAGGGTTGAGACTTTCTTCCACAATTAGTAGGCAATAGTAAGAAGCTCTTGGGTATCTCTGGTGACCCAGGAGATATGCTAGGACTACTTAAGTGGCTTTTTAATATTACAGGGCTAGGCCTGAGGAAGAAAAGAGGAGAAAGAGATAGAACTCATACTTTGGGTGTCGAATCAATAGGATGTGAATGATGAGGGTTCTGGAGTTGGTTTGCTCTGGACTCTGGTAGGAGAGCAGTTGGGGATGAACCACTGTGTGTGATGTGAGCACATGGGAGGGGGGCTGTGCAAGCCCAGGGATTGGGCAGCACGAGAGGGGAAGAGGCAGGGAAGCCCAGAGAACACTAGCCACTAGCTTTAGAAAAAAATGCATTTGCCAACTGTTCTGCTAAAAATTGAATATATTGAGGCTGGTGCTGTGGTGTAGTAGGCTAAGCCTCTGCCTGCAGTGCCGGCATCCCATATGGGTGCTGATTCATGTCCCGGCTGCTCTTCTTCTGATCCAGCACTTTGCCTATGGCTTGGGAAAGCAGTAGAAAATGGCCCAAGTGCTTGGGTCCCTGCACCTGCATGGGAGACCGGAAGAAGCTCCTGGCTTCGTACTGATCCAGCTCTGGGCATTGGGGCCATCTGAGGAGTGAACCAGCAGATGGAAGACCCTTTTCTCTGTCTCTCTCTGTAACTCTGCCTCTCAAATAAATAAATAAATAATGTTTTTTTAAAAAAGAATATATTTGAATTAGTTCTTTTAAACTTATAAATGAAATAAATACATACTCGCAGAAACACTACAGAGAAGTAAAGTAAAAGTCGCCTATTCTGTATAGTTAGATAGAAGGAATTGGTTCTGGTGTTCTACAGCCTGGTAAAGTAACGATAGTCTACAATAATCTAGGATATATTTCAAAGTAACTAAAAGAATCCAAAGGTTCTCAACACATAGAAAAGATTAATGCTCGGGGAGCCGGAAATGCTAATTATCCTGGTTATACATTGTACACATGTTTCAAATTACTGTACTGTGCCCCATAAATATAGACAAATACACATCAATAAACAAAAGCTGCCCATTCTAACGCCCAGGTCCACTTCTCAGAGGCAGCCATCATTACGGTTGTGGTGCAGAAACACCGCGGGGACTCATGGTCACATCAGATGCACGTGGCTGTAACGTGCCTTCTCAATGACTTCACTCCGCACTTCTCTCTAAGTTCCCCCAGTGAGGAGCATTTGGGTTGCTTCCAGGTGTTTTGTTACCACATGTGGTAATGAACTTTTGTTCAATGTATGACTTTGTGACTACCTCTAGGATAATATTTTAAAAGTGTAACTGTTGAACGGAAAGGCATGTGATCTGAAAATTCCGAGAGCTACAGCTCCATTGCTCTCCGAGACGGCTGTAGTAGTAATATATGTACCTGCCTGACCTCCAGCCCTTGAGAGTACGTGGGGAGTGAACCCCTAGATGGGAGCTCTCTGTCTCTCAAATAAATAAGTAAAAATAGAAAAAGAAGGTATAACAAAACCGCAGTGAGACACTATTTCACATTCACTAAGATGTCCGTAGTAAAAAAGCCAGTAAGAAGTGTTGGCAAGAATACGGAGAAACTGGAACCTTCATACATTGCTGGGAATGTGAAAGGGAGCAGCCACTTTGAACTAAAAACACTCTGGCAGTTCCTGGAAAGGTTGAACAGAGTTACCAAGCGACACAGCACTTGCACTCCTAGACATACATCCGAGAGCAATGAACCCATGTCTACATCAAAACTTCACAGCAATTATTTGTAACAAAGACTAGAAAAAAAACAAAATACTGATCAGCTGGTGAATGCACAAGCAGTACGTGATATGTTGACACAATGGAGTAATGTTTGGCAATAAAAAGGAAAAAGAATTAATGCAATTTTACAATTTTCAAGTAACCTTGAAAACATTAGGTTGAGTGAAAAAAGCCAGTTACAAAAGGCCACATATTGTATGATTTATAAGGAATGTCCAGGATAGGCAAACCCACAGACAAAGAAAGTAGATTTGTGGTTGCAAGGAGCTAGGGATGGGGAATGACTGGTAATGCGTGTGGGCTTCTGTTAGGGGTAACAAATACAAAAACTGCTCTGGAATTAAAAGGTGGGTGGCACAACTCTGCGAAGATATTAAAAAACCCTGAATTGTGTGTTTCAAACCATGGACTATATGGTATATGAATTATGAATCAAAGCTCTGATAATACTATTATTTTTAGAAAGAACTTTTTTTGGTAGAGTCTTCTCTGTGGCTTAGACTAACAAGTTACCCTAACATCCCGAGGCGGCGCAAAATCACAGCTCCAGCCTTTACCTGCAAACGAGAGCTGCTTGAGGCGGGCATTGGATCGCGCTTCCTGGACTTTATCTGTCAGTGACTTCCAGGCATCTGTAAGGGGAGAAGAGAAAACTGTGGGCAGGAAAACATTCGTGCAGATATCTCTCAAACCCGGTGTGCGGAAGCACTGTGTTTGGAATCCCCATGCGCAAACACACACCCTCCTACGACAAGGCTGTGTTGTTTTCCTCAGTTTCATCAATTCAGGGCATAAGCGAGAGTCTGGAAGGCACAAGGCTGCTGGAGGAGACAGGAGCAGTAAGGAGACTTGTGCCGCTGAAACCCTGAAGCACTCCCATCCCCTGCTGGGGGTCTGGGCCGCAAACCTACACCCTGTACTCCTAACCCAAACGGTACTTGTGTTATCGATTTAGCCAGGACTCTGGGGGAGATCGTAAAAGTAAGGAGCGGGGCTAGGAGATTTTTATAGTCCCTTTAAAAGAGAGGAAGACACGTGACTGGAATTGTGGGCAGCAGGTTGAATTGCTGCCTGCAACACCACATCCCATCTGGGCACCTGTTTGAGTCCCAGCTGCTCCACTTCCTATCCAGCTCTCTGCTAATGCACCTGGGAAAGCAGCAAAGACGGCCCAAGTCCTGGGCCCTGCCACCCGCATGGGAGGTCCAGATGAAGCTCCTGGATCCTGGCTCTGGCCTGGCCCGGTCCCAGCTGTTGTGCCCACTTGGGAAGTGATCAGCAGATAAAAATCTCTTTCTTTCCTTCTCTAATTCTGCCTTTCAAATAAATAAATAAATTTTCATTAAAAATATTTATTTATTTGAAAGGCAGAGTTACAAAGAGAGGGAAGGAGAGACAGAGAGACATCTTCCATCCGCTGGTTCACTCCCTAAGTGGCCACAATGGCTGGAGCTTGGCCGGGTAAAAGCCAGGAGTCAGGAGCTTCTTTTGGGTCTTCTACATGGATGCAGGTGCCCAAGCAGTTCGGATATCTTCTACTGCTTTCCCAGCTGCATTAGCAGGGAGCTGGATCAGAAGACGAGTAGCTGGGACAAGAACCAGAGCCCACATGGGATGCCGGTACTGCAGGCAGAGGCTTAGCCCACTACGCCACAGAACTGGCCCTAGTTCAATTTTTCTTAAAGGGTACTACTACATTAAGCTTCCTGAAATTCTGTTTTTTTTTTTTTAAGATTTTATTTATTTATTTGAAAGGCAGAGTTACAGAGAGAGGGGGACATGGAGAGAGAGAAAGAGAGATCTTCCGCTGACTGGTTGATTCCTCATATGGCTGCAACAGCTGGAGCTGGGCCAGGTTGAAGCCAGGAGCCTGGAACTCCATTCAAGTCTCCCACAGGGGAGCAGGTCCCAAGCTCTAGGGCCATCTTCCACTGGAAGTGTGGCAGCTGGAACTTGAACTGGCACACGTATGGGATGCTGGGGTCACAAGCTGCAGCCTAACCTGTTGCACCAGAATGCGGCCCTTAAAATCCTGCTTTTATTCTACTCCTCCAAATTTTGAGAGGCCTTGTGGCTTGGCCCTGAAAGCCCTTCAAAATCTATGCCTAATCCACCTTTCCAATTTTTTCTTTCATTACTGTCTGATGAGGATTTCACCTTCCCACCTGACATTATTCCAAACCTCAGCAATGCACTCCAGTCTTTCCAACCTTGCTTATTCCTTCTTTTTAGAAAGCCTTCCCTATTCCTCTCTGCCCAACTCAAATTCTCATATCTCCTTTGATAGGATGTCTACACTATTAACCTTCGGAGGTTTTTTGGACATCCATAATGCAGCCACCACCTTTCTCTCTGCTGAACTGTACAGTAACTACAGCCTGGAGAACATGGACTAGTCCTTCAAGGATTAATGAACACTGTCGCTCCCCCTCTTCGCGGAGGAACGACACAGGACCCTGCGCTGTTCTTTTGTCTGCTCGGCCCTTCCCGGGTTTGCTGCTGGTTCTTCCCGGGTTGGCTACCGACCCCTCCACCTCTGTGGAGGGGCGGGCCCCCCTGCCACTTTCCCCACTTCCGCGGGGGAGCGGCACACCGCCGGCCGGCTCTCTCGGGGGCTGCACAGGTGTTCCTTCAGATAGATGTTCCTGGTGCATGTTGTCTCTCTCCTCCTTTATAGTCCTCTTCCACCAATCCCAACTCTGCTACCCACACGCCGAGTACGCTGCTCTCCTCCAATCAGGAGCAGGTCCTGCTGCTTATTGGTTGAACTGGAGGCAGCTGTGTAGAAGCTGTTTCCTCCTCTCCCAGCGCCATATTGTGGGAGAGCAGATGCATAGAATAAGTCTTAATTCCAGTAATAGTCTAGTCCGAGTTGCTCCCCACAGAACACCAGCAAGCTTGGGATACAAAGATGAACAAGAGAGTACAATGCCAGCCCTTACAGAGTTCACTATTGAGTGGGACACAGAAGTCAAAACATTCCTAAAGCAAATTGTGAGCTGTGCAGAACACCTGAAAGAAGGAAGATTTGAAAGAGGGGAGGGGAGTGCTCCTCTGCCTCAGAAGGTCAAGAAATTCTTCTGGGCTGCCTTTTTTTTTTTTTTTTAAGATTTATTTTTTAACTTGCGAAGCAGAGTTACAGAGAGAGGGAGAGAGAGAGACAGAGAATCTTCCATCTTCTGGTTCATCCCCAAAACGGCCACAACGGCCAGAGCTGGGGTGATCCAGAACCAGAAGCCAGGAACTTCTTCCGGGTCTCCCACACGGGTCTAAGTATTTGGGTCATCTTCCACTGCCTTCCCAGGCCATTAGCAGGGAGCTGGATTGGCCTTTGAGTACCCAGGACTCAAACTGGTGCCCAAATGGGATGTCAGCGCTGCAGGTGGAGGCTTAACCTACTGCGCCACAGCAGCGGCCTCTCTGAGCTGGATCTTGAAGGGGCAGCTGGAGTTTCCCAGGTTGGAGGTGCGGGCAGGAGGCAGGGAGAGGACTCCAGGCAGAGGGAAGAATGTGGGTGAAGGCACCCAGGAGGGAGAGCACGGACTTGATGGGACACAAGGAAGTGGCAGAGACAAGGCTGGAGGGAGAACTTAGCAGAGTTCTAAAACCATCTAAAACCTACGATGCTTATGACTAACCTTTCACACAAGTGATGGATGGTTCTCCAACAAGACAAATGTCTCAGGGATAGGAAAATGTATATTCTTCCCAAGTACCCTCCGTGTGTCCAGCTTCAGAAAACTGGCCAGCTCGATCAGCCTGAGGGAGAGCGCCGTGGAGCTGGAGCGGGGCCTCCGCGAACCCACTCACCTTCTATACTCTCTGCACAGATCTGAAAGCCATCATCACTGGAAATTTCAAAAACGAGGCCTTTCTTGGGCTTTTTCTCAGCAATGCTTTCCTTCCGCTTTTGTTCCTGCTGCAGCCACAGCATCAGTGGAGAGCTGAAATTGCTTTCCTCGTCTTCCGCTGTCTTAGGCTCTGTAAGGGGGAAGACCAGCGCCAAAGTGGTTGCACTAACACAGCTTCTTGCGCACCTGTGTGCGAGTCCTCTGTGCTTACCATCACCAGGCGCCAGGCCATTCCGTAGCTGGCGTTTTTATTCCACTGACAGAGAGCAAAACTGAGGCTCACAGAGCCTGCTCTAAGCCATAGCTGGAGAGGCTCATAGGGCATTTCCTTGCACACAAAGTTAGGCTGTGTCTATGGCAGTTTCTGTTGTAACAATTTGGTAGTTTTTCAATAAATAAAGGCCCTCAACAGGGTGGGTGGGTGGGTGGGAGAGAAGTAGTAATTTGTATGAAGTACTTAGTATGTCTATGAGACACTCTCATAGGAACTTCAGATAAATTAATTCCTATAAACCTTACAACAAGCCAGTGTAGTAGTTATTATCTCCATTTTATTTATTAAAAATTTTTAAGTTGGCTGAACCGTGGATTAGCATAATTTATTTTTCAAATGCTTTACTTATTTGAAAGGCAGAGGGAGAGAGACGGAGAGAACTCCCATCCACTGGTTTACTCCCCAAATATTGCAATGGCCAGGAATTGGCCAGGCTGAAGCCAGGAGCTGAGAACTCAATCCAGGTCTCCCACACGGGTGGCAGGAACCCCATTACTTGAGCCATCACCACTGGCTCCCAGGGTCTGCATTAGCAGGAAGCCAGCGTTAGCAGCTGGGACACAGGCATCCATCCTAACTGGCGACTTAACAACTAGGCCAAATGCCTGCCCTGTAATCTCTGTTTTAAAGATGAGGAAACTGAGACAGACAGAGGTAACTCAGGCCAAGTTCATTCAGCCAATACATGTGATGCTAGAGGGTTCCAAGCCATCTGGCTCCGGAGCCGGCACTACCAATCACCACCCCTCACTGCTGTCTTACATAAGCAGACATGCCACCCCTCCGAGGAGCTGGCAGCTCAGCACCTATGGGAACATCCCAGATCCTGGGCCGAAGCATTTCTTTACCCGATTACTCTCTTTTGGGATGTCCCCTCTACAGAGCTGGGCAAGGCTTTTATCCAGAGCTCTCTTAATTTTGAAGTCATCAGCTGTTTCCTGATCAGATTTATTAGGAGAGACAGAAAGTGCCCTGCAGATTTTGGTGTTGTAACCAAAATCTGAGTACCTGATGAAAATGAAAACGATTCTTGGTTTCTTTTAGTAAAACTGACGGATGAAGCCAGGCTGTCACTGGCTATTTCAGTCTCGCTGCCATTAGAACAGCAGAGTATCTAACGCACTGTTCTGTCCTTCAACTGGCAGCCGGTCCCCGAGCACACAGTGGGCAAGCCCCACACCAGCAGAGAGGTGCCCTGAGTCTCAACAACCTTGGAGCTCAGACTGTGTGTGTGTGTGTGCATGCACGAGTGTGTGTGTGCGTGTGTGTGTAATCTAGAAAATCAGGAGGTGAAGTTGGTGATTCTGATAGCACTTTTAGCTTTGAAATTCTCTGATTCGAACCCGTTACTCACTCACATACCTGTATTTTCTTGCTCGTTTGCTGCTGGATTTTGTGCGGCCTGAGCCTCTGGAAGAGCAGCCACTTGCCTGAATGAAACAAACAAAAACCCAAGCGTGAGACGCGGCACCAGCTGGTTCTCCCACTCAGACCTTGAACCTCCCTGGGATCTGCCACGCAGCTGTGCCACTTACATAAAGCCAGCGCCAGACTGCGGCCACACGGTGCTTTGTGCAGCACCTGCTGGACGGCCACCACCACACTACTGTACTATGGCGCATAAAATAAAGCCATCTTTATGCGATTCTTTCCCGAAAAAGTGACATTTAAGTTTCTGCTCCTGAAGCTGTAGACTGTGCCCTCATACTCTTAGTATTAGGAGAGAATGAAAGGACACTTGTCAAAAGCAGTTCTACACAGTTCCTATGGAAGTGAGGTGGTTTTATTAAATAAAAGTAAATTGCTTGAACCTGTAAAGTCACCATCAACTTTCACTTAAATGCTAAAACAACCCAAATGTGTACCGACTGACATCAAACCAACTAGTTAAATAAATTCCTACAGACCCACGCCTAATCCTGCAGGCAGCCATTGAAAGTGCAGGGCGTCTCCAGGCACTGGCATAGGAAGACGCTCCCGAGAGCACACGATAGGTGAAAAAGCCAAGTGCAGACAGTGCATGCAGCAGTGTTTCTCTTAATGTCTATCTGTACAGATCCAATACACTCTGAGCAAGTCACCTGTGGGGAGCAGAGCGACACCAACGGGGAGCCGTTACCTATTATTTAAAGAGCTCTGTGCTAGCTCCCCCCAAAGCCTGTATGACTTCCATTTAGAAAGCTTTGGCAATACAACAAAAATCACTGCAAGTCAGGAAGGGTTTTGTAAATCAGGTGGATGCAAGTGAGGGCTTCCTCTCGGAGAGCTAATCCTCCAGCTTACCCTGTGGGCTGCCCACACTCCTTTTGTGATGGCTCCTCCACACTGGCTGTGCCCTGCTGCTCGGCCTCGGCTCCTGGAGTCCTGCAACACAGTCATTTGTGTCGTTTCAACAGAAACTCACTGCCACGTGCACGCACAGGTCGGCCTACAGGACTCTGCCAGGACCTGATCAAATCTGCGAGCTGTCAAACTAACCAACAGTCATAAAAGCCAGATAATGGTAGAAAGCACAAGGAGCCTACTGTACTGCCAGAAATGTTCCTGTATTTTGGTCCGAACAGTGGTTACATGAGTGCATATATCTGCAAAGATTCACTGGTGTGTTTTAAGTGTTATACTTCATGCATGTTATACTTCAGTGTCAGTGTTTAAAAAGGACTCAAAGGGATTCACAACAAGGAGCTTTGCCCTCCAAATGGAAACAGTCACTCCCTGGGATCCTGAGGCTCAACAACAAAACCTCCACAAATAAACAAAAGGAGCAAACAGCAGCACCGTTTGAAATCAGAGCAAAGAGTAATTAGAAGTGTGGTTCTGGGGCCAGTGTTGTGGCACAGTGGGTTAAGCTGCTGCCTGCAATGCCAGCATCCATATGAGCGCTGGTTCAAGTCCTGGTCAATCTACTTCCAATCCAGCTCCTTGCTAATGCATCTGGGAAAGAAGCGGAGAATGGCTCCAAGTCCTTGGGCCCCTACAGCCCATGTGGGAGACCTGGATGGAGTTCCAGGCGCCTGGTTTTGGCCTGGTCCAGCCCTAGCCATTGTGGCCATTTGGGGAGGGAACCAAGAGATGGAAGATCTCTCTCTCTCTCTGTAATTCTTTCAAGTGAATAGATCTTTTTTTTTTTTTTTAAAGTGTGGTTCTATCTGAGATAACCTGCTCATGGATGGAACTAAATTTTGCTTCATAGATCACCACTGGGAGGAAAAAAAAGAAAAATCAAAGTCAACCCCCCCAAATTCCCTAAATGCAAATTGAACAGAGGATGGTCCCTCCCAAAAAGGACAGCAGCCTCTCAAGCAGAGCCTGCAGCCCCCTGCCCCAGCAGAGCTACCGTCTGCCTTGCTCACCCTGTGACAGAGGCCAGGGGTGCTGTGTTGGCTTCTTGGTCTGGAATGTGTGCTTCAGAAGAACTGGTCCGCAAATGGGAAACTTTGTGCTTCTTGCCAGTCCCTTTGTCCAGAGGCAGCTGAATCCGTTTGATTTTTGGTTTGGGTTTAGTGGGAGCTGGCCCTGAGGGGCTTGCTGACTGCTGTCCAAAGGGTGGAGAGCCTCCGGGAGAGGCTGAGCTGGCTGAGCTGGCTTGCATAGCTGAGGACAGAGCCTTGTTCTGCTCCAGTCCCACACTGTTGGGAGCATCCGCTGTCTGGGTGAAGCTGGACGCCTGGGTCCCTGAAGCAGAATCAAGGTCACGCTGGGAAGAGAGAAGCCCTGCTTTGCTGGCAAGGAGCTGGTTCACGTGCTGAAGCCGATAGTGTTCTTCGGCGTCCCCAGAGGGTGAAGCAGCTGTTGCGCCTGCGGTCTGCGTCGAGGGGAGCACACAGATGCTCGATGCTGCTGGCACGGCAGCACTGGAGGGAGTCTGCGACGTCCCCAGCTGGGAAAATACTCCTGAATTCGGTGCTAAAGTCACAGGCTGGTCCTGACTTCCCAGGTTCTGCTGGCTAGCTTTGATTAAAAGATTGCTTATTGAGCCAATATCGGGGGTCCCAAGCAACCTGGGATTGGTTAAGGTGACATGTCCTGGAACTGATGTGCTACTGGTAGGGGCAGTTGTGGTTTGCATGGATACAACGTTCAAGACGGAGGAACTGGAGGCCAAGCCAGACGCAGGCCCCGACGTGAGGTGGCCGGCATCCTGGCTTATGGTTGATGTGCCCACCACCGTGGCAGCAGTTCCTCCCACACTCTGTGGTAACAGGGGTGCCTGTTCAAAATACATGATGCCAGATTTAGACCTTTTTATGATGTTGGGGACGGTTCGGTGAGATGAAGTATTAAGTGAGCCCAAATCTACCAGGTTGGGATGATTTGAAAGCTGGGAGGGTGTGAAGTTAATCAGTGTCATATTAGAAACCACATCGGAGGGGGCAATGTTTGAAGGGGTACTAGAGGGTGCAAGTTTTTTATTCTTTCGGGTCTGCAGACGAGATATGGGTCTTTTCTTGAGTCCAGAGGATGGAGTGGCTACTGTGGTACTGAGGTCTGTCCTCTGGCTGGCTTCTGAAACCAAAAGTTGGGGATCTGGAGGAGGCTGAACCCCAATGAGGAGGCCTGAAGGAGAACTGCTGATGCTGGGTGGGAAGCTACTTTGGGTAGCTGCAGGGAAGGAATGTAAGTGCTGGTGATGAGGCATGGGGAGCAATCCTTTGCTAGGAGGAGGGAACAGAGATTGAGAAGTTGACAAGCTTGGATTTAGTCCTGTGGTTAGGGTGAGACCACTTCCCATGGGCCCCAGTACTGAAGTATTTGTCTCCATCACACTGGGTGTAGAGCTAACAGAAGAGGTCAACTGAATCTTTTGGGTCACTCCATTTGGAAGAGTTTGGAGAACATAAAGTGGTTGCATGTTCTGGTTAACAACAATGAGTTTCTCAGTGGCTGGTTTCAGGTGGGGTGGAGTGGTCTGGACAGCTGCGTTAGAAATCTGAGATGGGCCAGGACTATCAGTAGAATTGGGCACATACTTCTGGTTCTGGATGGGAACAGTAGGGGAAACAGGTACCTGTAGGCCAGGGGTGCTACTGTTTCTAGTTAAATCCTGATTGTTGCCATGACCTTGCTCCACAGAACCGCAAGGGGGGCTGGAGATGTGGTCTGCATCCATGTGTCCTTGGATAAAGTGATCAGGAGTCATGTGGCCTTCGGGAGTAGGCTCCACCCCTGGGCTCAGCAGTGCCGGCTCACCTTCAGAGGAGGCTACGGACTTTTCTGTGATGGTCACTCTCTTCTCCCCTGAGTCTGACATTACCGCTAGCCTGCTGGGATTCTGGCTAGGGACAGTGGGACTCCGGGTGGTCAGGACAGAGAGGTCAGATGGTAACTCCAAAGGCAACTCAAACTGCTCCTCCGCCGAGATGGAGGAGGAGACACTACTGTCCACGGGTTCCGTCGTTGGCAGCTGCTGGGAAAAGACTTCAAAAAGACCCATGTCCTTTTCGCGATTACTGTCGAGGCCCAGCCCTTCGCCAAGATTCAGGAGTTCTGACGAAGACGACTCTGGGCTCTCCCCCAGAGCCTGCATGGACGGAGTGTTCTTCAGCACAAAGTCCATGATGTCTGAAGGCAGGATGTTGCCGCAGTCGTCGCTATTGTTATTGTCCGAGTCGGACTTGAGCAGCTCAGTATTATAGGTGTCCAGTAAATTTTTGTCTGATGGGGTGCTTGTGTGGACTCTGCGGCTTGACTCCAGTGAGCTGAGCTGGGCTTCCAAGGAATCCTGGCCCTGGGTTTTAACTCGACTGACTGAGTGGCAGTTATCCATCTTGGGCTCATTTTTGTGGCCAACGGAACCCTTGATGACATGTTCTTTTTCTCCAGCATCTTCGGGTTGGTCAATCTTTAAGTTCTCGGTTCCATTTTCTTTCCCGCTTCTTTTCGGAATCTGGCTGCTTTTCCTTGTCGTAGCTGTAACACTAGTATCACTCTCCGTCCCGTCATCAACACCATCCAACTGTGAAATCTTTGGAAGATCGCACTGCTCCTCCTCTCGGAATAAATTATGGGACGCCAGCCGCTCCTCTCCACCTGATGAAATCACCGTCCTGGTGAAGTTGTAATAGTATAAGTCGTCCTCATCTGAAGTGCTTAGGTCATCGGCCCCGTCCACCTGTCCTTCGGCTGATCTCTTGCCTCGTTTCTTCCCCACCGAGCTGCTGTAGAACGGAATGTCTTCCTCGCCATAGGATCTTACTCCATAGAGTGGAGTGAGCCCAAAGAACATGTTAGATCGGGCGCGGGCACTGCGGCGGGGGTACCTCCTCTTGAAGGAGCCATCCTCCTGAGGCTTGGGACCGTCTGGAAGCATGAGGTTTCTGTCCTGTACTGGAAGATTCTGATAGTTGTTACTCTGAGAATCCTGAGATAAGGTATTGTTGGGGCTTGGCTGGGCCACTGGGCCATCTCCTGGACTTTCAGAGGCTGCAAGTGGCTCTGTGGGAGATGCTGACTCTCTTTGCAAAGGGGAAGCAGGACTACCGTCTTTCAAGGTGTTTTTGGACTGATTCTCACTTTCCATTTTCAGAGGTGTCAGTGTTACTTTGACTGTGCGTTTCCGGGGTGCCTGTAACTCTTTGGCAGGTCCTTCTACTTGCATGGATGAAGCTTTGGGAACTCCTGGGATAGAAAGGACTTTCTCTCCAATTTTCTCAGCAGAAACATTGTTACATGGCCGAGGCCCCATAAACTCAGGAGTCAAAACCTCATCAGCAAACTCTGGCTTTAGATTTCCTTCCTCATCAGTTGTCACCTGACCAGGTTCCAAAAACGACTTACTGGAGTGCTTTTCTTTGAAAGTTTCTTTGCAAGATTTTTTCCCTTTCTGTCTCCTGTCTCTGGAACTGGACCCCACATGTTCACTGGAAACAGATGATCTGTTGCCCATTCCAGAAAGCTTCAAGGTTTTGACATCATTACTGTCATCTGGGGAGGGGTTTGCTGACTGAGTAGAATCTGTGTGTTGGTCTCTATCATTCCTTTGCCCTCTTGAATGTAGCTGTGAGAAGGAGAGGGCCTCTTTAGAAGAAAATGGCACTGAAGAGGGTTCGGCAAAAGTGCTGACTTTGTTAACATTCAGTTCTCCAGATATGGTGTTATGAACCTGCGGGGCCAGTTTAGGAATCCCTGGGTAAGCCATGTTGTGTGCACATCCCTCTGAATTCTTGGAACTCAGCACTTTGGTCTTCTCTCCTTTTAAAGAGGAGCTCTTGGACGTCACGTCTGAAGCACTGGGATGCTTCACTTCTAACGGTGAAGCTCCATCCAAGGGACTGGTTTTAGTACCCACAGTAACTACTGTCCTTTGCAAATTTGAAGAGGGCGTGTTTGGCCCCAAATTAGTGCTTGAGTTCAGTGACCCTAAGACATGGTCAGCTGCCTTGGCACTGGACCCGAGGTCTGCAGCGGTCCCCGTGCTGGAGACCGAGGAAGCACTATTCCTGGAGTAAGTGTTCCCGGCTCGCATGGGAGACATGATGCGGAGTTTGGATCGCTGGGGTGACAAGGAGGAAGTACTGTGACGCCTGGAGCCAATGCTTCGAAGTCCAGAGGAGAGTAAAGGATCACCCACCGTGACGATTTCATGAGTTGTTGGGGTAGGACTTCCTGAACGAGAGAGAACAGAATCAAGTCTATCGCAGATGAAACAAATGCGTGGAAGTCATTGGTTTCAATGTCTTAACTACAGATATTCACAGATAACTGAAAATCTATGCTTTCAAGTTAGCAAGAGATAAAGTTGACTGAAAGAATTACATATTAACCTTTAGGCTGCCTTTCTTGGGTCAAGTAGGTGAATGACGTCCTTTACCTGCAGAAGGCAACGGCCGGCAGCCGGGGGATCTCTGTGTTGGAGAGTAACTGGGTGCTCGAATCCTGGGGACTTTGGAGATTACATGATAGTAACAGGAGCCAGAGGCTTGCGAGTGTGCAGGTCGGTCTGGTGACGGAGGACTTATATTTTCCACTGTGTTTTGACTCTCTTTAGATGAACTTTCTGTGGTAGGGAATAAAAACTCTTCACCAAAAAAGTCCAATTAAAATCAAACCAAAGAACCAATAACAAGCCAGCTATTAGGTAAATGCCAAACTAGACTCAAACAAAACCTTTCAAGTAAATGACTTCTCTCCCATCTTTCAATCCAGTGTCCTTCCAAAGATTGAGTTCCGGTCCCACTCTAGTGCAGACTAACCTGTAGACGACGCGGGGCTGTGGGCTATGGTCCTGTTTTCATCGTGCTCAACGGTGCTGTTGATGTCTGGTTCCACGAGCGGGGGGCGGCACTCCACTATCTTGCACGTGTACACACAGCGCTTGCGGGCATCCGTGGTGCTCCAGTACACCCTGGAACACCTGCACACAGATCGGACAACATCACTACAAGTGAGAGGACACAGAAACTAAAGTTCACCAAAATCTGGTCTCATCCTGGGTTCCCTGGTCTCCTTGATTTAGAGAATGTGCTCCAACCTTTCTGAAGTCCTTGGTGTTTCCTAGCCTTTAAAAAAAATCCTGCAATCCTGCATCATATGCAAACAGAGTAAAATGCAAAAAATAGCAAAATATCCTAAAACCTAAAGAAAAAAAGATACTAACTGCTACAAGAAATTGGCCTTCAGACAGGGACTACCATGTACAAAATGAGGCCCTAACATAAAGGAAAGGGCAAACCTGCGCTGTTTCCTTTGGGAGGAAAGCCCCAGGAGACAAGGGAAGTGTAACTGCTTCGACTCTGCCAAATGCTGTGGAACCCATGGCGTGCAAAGGGCGACTGGTTAAATGCGCAGCACAGACTGCCACATCAAAGATGGCGTGCAGAAATACTCAGGGTATATACTGCAAAGAGGGAGAGGGAGGAGAATTTTTACTTTTATTGTCAGCTTTTTAGATTTTTTTTTAAAAAAGGATTTACTTTTATTTGAAAGGCAGTTACAGAGAGAGAAGGAGAGAAGGAGAGAAAGAGAGAGAGAGAGAGAGAGAGGTCTTCTATCTGCTGGTTCACTCCCCAAATAGCCACAATGACCAGGGCAATGCCAGGCCGAAGCCAGGAATCTAGAGCTTCTTCCAGGTCTCCCATGTGCGTGCAGGGGCCCAAGTACTTGGGCCATCTTCCGCTGCTTTCCCAGGTGCATCAGTAGGCAGCTGGATCAGAAGTGGAGCAGCCTGGTCTCAAACCAGCACCCATGAGATGCTGACATTGCAGGCAGTGATTTAACCTGCTATGCCACAATGCTGGCCCATGTATTTGACATTTTAAAGTTTTTATGGAGATTCATATTTTCAGAAGTAGCTTTAAGATATAAAACTTAGGACAGGGCACGAGGTGTTTGAGCCATAAAAACAATTTGGAGGCTGGTGCGGTGGGACAGCAAGTTAAGTTGCCACCTGCAATGCCGGAGAACCGTATGAGCACTGGTTCGAGTCCTGGTTGTTCCACTTCAGATCTACCCCTCCTGCTAATGTGTCTGTGAAAGCAGTGGAAGTACCTGGGCCCCTCCCTGTCACCCACATGGGAGAGCTGGATGTATTTCCAGACTCCTAGCTCTTTCCCATCCCAGCCTTGGCCATTACAGCCATCTAGGAGTGAATGGGTGGATGGAAGATTCTGTCTCTCTCTCTGCAACTCTGCTTTTCAAATCAATCAATAAATCTTAAAAGAAGAGAAAAGAAAAGAAATCTGGACTTTTGTATCCAGATGAATGGAATTGAAAGGCATCTTAAGAGAGTGTGTTTTCTATTTAGATTTTATTTGGAAATGATTCTGAAATTATGCCAGATACACTTTTCTTTTATAACAGGATTTACTTGATACAGAAATGCTGATTTAGTCCCAATCTACAAGCTAATGAACCAGGGAACTAGCAAAAAACTACTGCTTATTACTTTTATTTGACTACTTTTTAGCAGTTAAAAGTAGCTAACAAGGGTGCCTCTACATTACTGATCTGCACATTGCTTTAGGGTGCGCACGCAGCAGGGGCTGCGTCTTGCTACTTACTGATATCCAATAGGAAAGAGCTTATCTTCACAGTCAGAGAGATCATTCAGAAGTCCCAAGCAGTCAATCGTCATAGAGCCTGACCAAGGAAAGAAGAAGTGATCAGAGGAGACTACGAGGAAGGTTGTTTGATAGCCGAGGGCTAGAGAGGGGCCCGGTGACGCAGACAGCCTGCCCCATGCCCCGCGCCTACGGCATACCAATCATCATGTGGATATTTTCTGGTTCCAAGCCATTGAGAAACTTCCTTCTCAAGCTGATTCCTTCAAAGTCCACAAACACTCTTCTAAAAACTTCAAATCCATTCTCAGGAACCACCTTAAATAAAAACCCAAGACAGCTGTCAACAGGCTGTCGCTTTGTACTTTATGTTCACGGTACTGGCTCTCAGAGGAAAAGCACAAGGCATATCTTAAAATTACCATTCTGTTTTAATTTCTCACTAGAGGAAGTGATTCTAGGGACACCTAGTAGGAAGGCAAAACACAGTTTACCATCTTGCTATTATTCAGTCTTTTGTCTCCTAAATTCCCAGAAAACTCAAAAGGCTAATAAACAAAGCATGGAAAGACTTGGAGGTAAACGTAAATGTGTATTTCTGGGTAGGTGAAGCAAGTCCAAAAAGACTATGTACTGTATGACTTCAAGTACTCAGAAATCTTGGAGGTGGCAAGACTGTGAAGACAGCAACGAGACCAGCAGTTGCCCAGGGTTGGGGAGAATGAATGGGTAGAACACCGAGAGATGCCTTCTGTCCACACCGAGGACATCCAGGGCAATGAAAATACTCATAAGGATGCTGCCATGGCGGACACAGGCTGTTACACAACACAACAATACACAACCGCAAGAGTGAACCCTAATCTACACCATAGACTCTGGTGATAAGGATGCACCAATGTGGTTGTTACCAGAAGGGGATGCTGATATGGGGGAAGGTTGTGTACATGCTGGGGAGGGGGGTAAATGGGAAATCTCTATACCTTCCCTCTTAATTTTGCTGTGAACCTAAAATTGCTCTAAAAAAATTAAAGTCTATTATTAAGGGAAAAAAAAAAGACAACTAAAGCTCTCTTACCTCGCCTTTGATCAGATCCCGATGTCGTTGGCAATACACTTTTTTATCATCCAGAAAGACACAGTTCTTGGCTCGGGAGCACATGAAATGATAGTTGCTGGTGCAAGATGTGAGACAGCAACCCACGGTGGCTCCTGGCTTCTGGCAGAATTCACATCTCTAAAAACCCAGAGAGAGCAGAGTTCCATTCAGACTTTTATGTGCTGTAAGACATGCACCTCTTCCTCTACAGAATCACCCCACTTTGGTTTCTTGCAGTTCATTTGTTAATTGGTAATCTGCTGAATTCCAGAGAAATGCTTGGAGCCCCAAAGCCTCCGGAATTTCCCATTATCCACAGGGCCCTGGAACTATCAAACTGAAGTATTACAAGTTGATCTAAAACTTGTACCAAACATTTTTTCCTTAAGCTGTACAATCTAGAAATGATGAAACTCTGAAGGTCAATGGTTAAAAATATCGCCTTGAGAGGAAGTTGTCACATCCAGAAACAACTCTGTTCTAGCTGAAATGGCGAGGTTCTCGAGTTATTAGACTCGACTGATGACACACCTGTCGCGATTCACGTCTCCCTCAGTTACCCCTGCATGACTGCTCTCCATACAACTCCCTTCCATTGCTCAGTCTGTGCCACTTTTTCGTTTGCTTGTGCTATCGCTTTCCCCTGCTTTGTAGTTTTCAAAATTCTCTTTCCTGCCTTTCCTGATTCCTCTCAGCTGCCACTCTCCACGCTCCCTCTTCAGGTACAGAACCACATGTGTTCACCCTGGGGAACCTCAGGGTGTGGACTACACCAAGACCTCTGAGACGGCACACTCCAAGTCCCTGAATAAGCAAACACTGTTCTCACACACGTGAGTTAGCTCACAGATCACATAACACCTTGCTTTCTGTTTCTTGTGCAACCCTCCTCTGAGAGTCAGAAGGGCCATCTGCCTGTGAGTGGCGCTGACTCTGTGCCCAAGCACGGAGTGCGTCTCGCTCTCACACCAGCCCTGGGTGCTTACCAGCTGCTTGCCCCTGATCACAGCCATGTGCACATTCTTTAAGGATCCATCATCATCTTCAAACACTTCCGCCGACCACAGAGCACAATTGACGTGTGTCCACTCATTTTGGCCAATGTATAGCAAACGGCCAGCATCCTAGGCAATAAGGAAATTCTGTTTCTTGACAGAATTTAACACCAAAGGAGGTTTTCCTCAGTATTAGTTTACCTCAGTCAAAACAACTTCAGGGCACTCAGCTCTCGGCTCTCCACTGAGCCGCCCGCCGGGCCAGCCAGGTGGGTTCTCTCCATTTAACCATGAACCTTGCTTTCCCCAGTCCAAGTGACTGGGTGCTCTCTATCTGTCCCTTCTGTTCTGACATTTGCTCTATCCCCAGTAAAACCACATTACTTTGGGAAAAAAAGACCGCAAGAAAGCAACCATGATCTTTGATTTAGCAATACACATACAAAGCACAATTCATTTTTAACTTTAGTTTCCACTTCCATCTTTTCTTGACTACTTTTTCCATTAACTAGGAATATTTTATAAGTCTAGGCAATAAAAAATATGTGTTAAGTTCCTAAAAATGCATACTTGCTTCCTCAAAACTGTATTTCAAAGCTAACTCTGTCAGGTTCATTCAGAAACTTTAAAAAAAACATTGTGAGCTTACTATGTGCCAGGCACTAACCCAAAGCTTTACATGCATCATTTCATTTAATTTTCATACCATCCTGAAGTAGTATCTTCATTTCAAAGGTTAGACTGTGGGTCAGGGAGGTGAAGTTACTTGCCAAGGTCAATGAGTAGGCAGTAAAGCAGAGAAATGAATCCAGGCAGCCTGTCACAACTGTGGCTTCTAACCATTCTGCTATCCTCCATGAAACACAAGCTACCTAATACACGGCTTATTTTGCTGACTTTCACCAAATTTTTTAGAGGAACTTCCAGTAAAAATTGTTACATATCACTAGGTTAATTTCAGATATATCACTTAAAATTTTTTTTTCCTTATCATTTGAGAGACAGAGAAATACCTCTATCCACTGGTTCACTCCCCAAATGCTCACAATGGCCAGTGCTGGGAGTCAGGAATGCAATCAGGAACACAATTATTTGGGCCATTACCTGCTGCCTCTCAGGATCTGCATTAGCAGGAAGTTGGACCTGGGACTCAACCCCAGCTATTTTTTTAAACTTTTATTTAATAAATATAAATTTCAAAAGTACAACTTTTGGATTATAGCGGTTTTCCCCCCATAACCTCCCTCCCACCCACAAACCATCCCATCTTCTACTCCCTCTCCCATCCCATTCTTCATCAAGATTCACTTTTAATTATCTTTAAATATAGAAGATCAACTTAGTATATACTGAGTAAACATTTCAACAGTTTGAACCCACACAGATACACGAAGTATAAAGCACTGTTTGAAGACTAGTTTTACTGTTAATTCGTATTGTACAACACATTAAGGTCAGAGATCCTACATGGGAAGTAAGTGCACAGTGACTCCTGTTGTTGATTTAACAATTGACACTCTTATTTATGACATCAGTGATCACCCAAGGCTCTTGTCATGAGCTGCCAAGGCTATGGAAACCTCTTGAGTTCACAAACTCCGACCGGATTTAGACAAGGCCATAATCAAAGTGGAAGTTCTGTCCTCCCTTCAGAGAAAGGAACCTCCTTCTTTGATGCCCCCTTCTTTCCGCTGGGATCTCACTCACAGAGATCTTTCATTTAGGTGTTTGGTTTTTTTTTTTTTTTTTGCCACAATGTCTGGCTTTCCATGCCTGAGAAACTCTCATGTTTCTGATGTGGGATGAGAACGTCTTACCTGCTAGGCTAAATACCTGCTCTCAACAGGTCACCTTTTAAATAAATTAAACTGCTTATAATAACCTTCAAGCGTCATTAACGAAGTGACAATTTGTTAAATAAACGGCCACCAGTCATCATGCAGAGACACAAAGGACAAAACAGTTCAGCTGAGACATCTGGTAACTGGGTCCTGTATCCCCAAGTACTTACATTAGCACTGTCATCACCATACATCAAACATAACGCACACTGTCTATTATCTTCTATGCCTGGGGGTGGGTTCAGCTCTGGACTATCTTCTCGACTCCTATCGGCACCTTGGAACCCAAAAGATATACAGTTAAAACTGGCAGTATTATGTCTCATTTCCAAGAGGAAATAGCCTATAGCCTATAAGACAAACTCTTGCAAAAAGTGCTCAAAGTTATCTCACCATCTATGTAACAATCCTCAGGGGTACTTATATCAAGTCTTTCTTAATATCCCCAGGGAAGCAAAAATAATGACTTCATTACATTTTAGGATGACCTGAAAATTTCTTTTCAATGTCTAAGTGTATTTTAGATCCACAAGGCCAGTCATTTGCATCTAGAGGAAAATGGAGAACGAGTCTTTCAGCTCAGTGCCTTACTCAGAGTCGGAGGTGTCGGAGGATGTAGCGGCGTCGGTGAGTCTGGCTCTCCAGGCCCTTTGGGTTTAGGAGCTGGAATGATTTTCTTCATTAAAGGAGGCTGCTCAGTGTGGCTGTTCTCCTCTCGCTCCTGCCACTGAGCATAATTATGGTCAAGTGAAGGTGGAAGCACTGCGTTTGGTAACATCCCACTGCTGGAAACAATCGATTCAACAAGTATTTATTGGACTCCTACAATATACCTAGAACTGCACAAAACAATCAAATTCTTGATGTCATCATTCTGGATCCCATGCACAGGCCATTCACAGAATGTAAGAACAAATCACAAAATTTGAAAACTGCTTAAGTACACTGGACTTTAATATTTAAAAAATATATAATCTCATATGAGTCTAGGTTAAACTTCCAGAAACAAAAAATAACTCTATTAAAACTCAAAAGAATTTACTGGGAGATAAATTAAAGGTTAAATATGGAGAATCAAGAGCAGGAGAAAGCATCATTTGAACTAAGTAAAATATAAAACAACTACAAAAAGGCTGCCACATAGCTACATCACAAGTCTTACACACTTGCCACAAGTTAAAACCAGGTTCTCTGAAACATAGCAAACAGATAAGGGGAAAAAAGGCAACAGCCTTCAGCAACACTACATGTTGTGTCTAAACTAGCACTGAAAAGGAGTTTCAATGGATTCATTTTTTATATTAAAATCTCTTAGGAAATCTCCATCTAGAATAGGAAACCTCTCATATTTCCAGTCAACAAGAAGGAAAAAATAATAATACTGAATTTACTTACTTGCTTGATACTTTATTTGGCTCCCAAAACCTGGACTTTTTGACACTGAACCAAGGGAAAACACGTTCCATTTGCTAAAAGAAAAACAAACAAACAAAAAAATAAAATGTCAACATGTGAACACTCATTTGGAAACCACATAGAAATCCACTCTGGCAACCTCATCAACTTCCTGCTAAAAAACTGGAGGAACAAATTAATCATGTGTTTGTTATACATAGGGCAAAGCAAAAGCAGAAGAGAACAAATCTGTTGCATTCAGAGGTTAACTATCCACAGGTAAGCATTAAAGACATGAGCTATTAATAGTATTCACCCGAATAAAGAAGGACTTGACCATGCTGTTGGCTTTTTTAATCTCTGGCTGCCCTCCATCTGAATTAATGGCTGCTTGAATGATCTTCACAATATCATCACTGAACTCCAACTATATAAAAAACAAAACATTAATTATTCATGAAACAGAATGCTCTCAAAACTACTTCCTCTTTCTTCCTCAATCATTCAGCACACAGATCTAATAGAAAACTTACACTCTATTTTAATACAGTATAATTTCTTTTTGGCTGAGGCCTTTGGGATTCAGTTCACAATTAACTTGTGGCAATCAAGAGATGCTAGGCTAACAAGGCAAGAATGCAAACAAATTAGCTGTATCATGGTAAGCTACCCAATTAGGCTCACAATTTTTTATTTGAATTAAAATGAATAAACAACTAAATAGCAACTATGGACCATGAGAGCATTAATATAGGAGCATTTCCTTTACATTCTCAAAATCATAAGATTAAAAGGCATCCATTTGCCTATGAATAATTATTCAGATCTGATTGCAGAAGGGGAAAACCAATTAACCCATAAGCAATTTTTCTGTACTTCCTCTTAATATAAAATAATTTTCAGAGAACTCAGATGAAATCTAAATAAAAGAACCACTTTAAGAAATTACCATATCATAACCCTTCTTCTGAAACACGGAGCTAACATAACACATATTTCTAGGTATCTGAAGGCACACGGCATTCCATGCAAATGATTTCTCAGCTGACTTCTACCCAACTTCATTCTCCAAAGATCCAAGGAAGCTAACTTGGTGCTCAAAACGCTGGCATACACTACGGGGACATACCACAGACATGTAGTTGCCCTGGTCCATTTTCCTCTTGACCCCTTCCAGATCTAAAGGCTGCTGCTCATCCTGCTTGCTGACCTCCGTGAGAACTGGTGGGTCAGGTCCTTCAGGGGAGCTGCGGGAAGGAATACTCTCCTCCGTCTCAGGATTTAAGTCCGGAGGCTTGGCAGCCTGTCGCCAGGAAAGATATGTTTCTTTTATCTAACACTGAAAATGAGGATTCCATGCAAATTCTATGAAAATTAATGTGAAGTATTCAATGCATAACACTCAAAGAGTATGAAAATAAACATTTGTCCAATAGAAAAGGAGAGTCCAACAAGTCTGTCCTCTAGTAGCTTGGCCAGGCTAACTTAGGAGTTCTGTTTGCTGACTTCCAAACCTGATGTGAGGGAATCGGCACTGTGTCCGGTTGCTTTTGAGTACAACAGAGATAGCAGCTAGTTTTCCTATTCAAAAAATGCAGCTCTGCGAAGATAAAACAGCAGCCTGGCTTTGGGATTAAGCTATCAAGCGGCCATTCCAACACCATACTTCATATTCCCCAGTGTGTACTTCAGGGGTGCACAGCTCACAACTTACAGACAGCAACCAGTGGTTTCAAGTTGGTTACTGTAATGGCCTCCTCACTATTGCGCTGGCTTCTAGGCTCAAGTCTTTCTGAACCTTCCCCTCCACTGAGATCAGAATAATTTTTTGGGGGGGGGCCAAAAAAGGCAATTCGGACCATCTTATTCTCTGCACTGGCTCCCCTCACCTTCAGAACATAAAGTCCAAGTTTCTTGTAACAGCTGGGCCTTTAAAGACACTGGCCCTTCCTTTCTTAGCTTTCTTATTCCAAAGAAGGTCCCATTCTTGCCTGTAAATATTTTCCTAGTGGTTATGGCCAAAATGACTCTACGAAACTTAACGAAGAAGGACGCAAAATGAAACAAACGCTTCTCTCCCCAACCCCATCACCTGGTAAAAACACCCAGGGACAAGCTCTCAGGAAACAAGGTGCGCCGCGGCCTACCTGCCGATAGCGCAGCAAGTGACTGGTGGTCCGAGAGTTCAACAAGGCCGTCAGAACCTGCTTCAAAGAGAGCTGCAGCTCCTTCTCCAGGGCCAGCCGCCACTCTGCAGGGTGCCGCTCGGTACAGTTCACGCAAGTGTAGGCCACGCTTTCTGGCAGGTTGGATAGAATCTCATACATCTCATCTAAGAAAAGAAAAATCTACCATGAGGAGGGCCTCCAAGAAGGGGGGGTGGGGTGGGGTAGGAGAGGAGGTAACTACTCCATTCAATCACTATAAGAAGCTGCATGCTAAGAACCATATTAAGCTTCTAATATCCTGCAGGATATCACACATACTCATCTCCAAAAGGGACACTATTAAACACTAATGCAGGATTTGGCTATTGGAGAACTGATAGGTTACAGTACCAATTTAAATAAAAGGATGTATTCTGGATAAGTGAGCATGCACATAACTCAATGTCACTTATTCTACAGGCCAAGAAAACATTTGAAAAGACTTCCATCATTTTAGGTTTCTAGTGCTCTAGGGGCTATCAAAGCAGGAGTAGCAAGGGAGAAAGAAACTGTAATAAAAAGACTCCAACCTTCTGTACCTGAAAGATTCTCACATTTGGAATGGACCCAGCGATCACACTTGCCACATTGCATCATCTTACTCTCATAGTCATCGTCATCGTAGCACTTGTCACAGAGCGGGCAGAAGTTTCCTGGAAGCAAAGCAAAGCTTGCAGCAGCGCTTGGCTCACACACCAATGCTTTCCGAACCCCCGACTTCCGCGCATGCGCCAGTCTGATCCAGCATCTACACTCTCCTGGACTCATGAACGCCAGCACCAGTCTACTAAGGAGTGTTCACAGCGGTGCAGCCAAGTATAAAGATTGTGCCGAGCTCCTAGCATCCTCCCCGAAGAGATTCTGCTGGGCCACTAGTTCTCCTCTTCAGACCCACTTAGAAAAGGTCACGAAGCAGATTATAAACATAATGGGAAAAGGACGGAAGAGCGAACTCTATCTTTGAGAACATTCAAAAGAAATTTTTAAAAATCTTAAGATATGATTGTATCTTATGTCAATAAAATAGCGGTTTAATGTATTAGCTATCATCCTTTTTCTAGCATAACGTAAGAAGCTCGAGTAGCATGTGAAATCATTCCTGGAACAGCCAAATGTGTGTGTGCCACACTCCGCTTCTACTCGCCTACGGCATTTCTTTGCAGGGAGCCATACTAAAGAAGTTCCCTTAATTCTTCCCACAAGCTAATAAAAACAAATCTTTATTTCTATTTGCAAAGTTTTCTGTGCAAAGAAAAGGGCAGGGCAGGCACATAGTAAACGCGTTGAAACGGCGTTCTCGGACAGTGAGTGAGTCTTTCTCCTTCATTCTACTGCACTGCACAGTTCACCCTCGCAGTACCACGGCAACCTCTGTCAACCGATCCAAGTGGCTTTGGGGAGTACCTTTAGCGAAGAGTTTGGCACAGTCGTGGCACAGTGAGAAATCATGAGACCACTGTGCGTCCCACCCTTTGCCTGGAGTTGTGGATCCACAGCTCTTGCAGCGCACACATTTGGTACAGATCTGGGAGAGGAGAAAAACTCAATAGGAATCTGCTTTTGGTATCTTCTCTTATTTTTAAAAAAGTCTCAACCACAATGCAGTTCTGGATTTGACTTCTTTAATGTGGTGAATTTTCCTCACAATGAGACAAAGTTGTTACTCTGACGTCAGAAAGCAAGGCTATCCCTATTGCCACATACACCAGCCCAGCCGTCTCAGGACCATTCTCTTCAAGTCAGCATAACCGGGCACTCACCCAAACTTTCTTTTTCTTGGTGGGTTTGGTGGGGTAGTTTGGTCCCAGGCACTCAGGGTGATAGCTGTTTCGGCACTTATTACACTCCAGCAGCTGCTGCAAGAAAATACAATGGCATACAGGTTGGCACCACTTCACCCTGCTCCACACCAGCTACTTTGTACGCATCTCATGTTTCTCTTCAAGAAAGAACAGCAACCCCTAAAGCAGTTCACATTTCCTGTTAGGCTGTGCAGCCCCAGTCAAAGCACAGAGCCTCCAAAGTCAAGGCACTCAGTGGGAAGTATTCTTACCACCCAGACCTGCAATTTTGTCTCATGTCATATTTTCTGCTTGTATAACCAAAATTAAAGCACAAAAGTAGGCAGCTGATTACACGCAAGTAGTGAAAAGAGACTAAGTCAATAGAGAAAAGAACAGAGATGCAAAACTCTACACTGCAGTCAGAAATGGAGATGGAGACTAACGCGCCAGGTGGCTGGTACCTTGGTAGCCTGATGCTGCCTCCCACAGACGTGACAGAACTTGCAGCGGCGACAACACCAATTTTCCAGCTGGTCCTCCAGAGGGCGCTCGTTCTCCTCTAAACAGAACTTGTGGAAGGGCTCACAACAGACTTGGCAATACACAAACTGAAGTGAAAAGATGGGAGTGGAGAAGGGCATCACATGATGTGTAGGAAGAACGATCAACTCTACCCTAGTTATACACCTTGTGTTTTAGGAGTTCGCAGGTACACATTTAATTCACTAGATATCCAGGAAGGCAGGCGTTTAGTGAGAGGTTAGGATGCCACTTGGAACACCTGCCTCTCCTATCAGAGTGCTTGGGTTGGACTCCCGGTTCTGCTTCCAGTTCCAGGTTCTTGCTGATGTACATACGGGGAGGCAGGAGGTGATAGCTCAAATCCTTAGGTCCCAGTCACCCTATGGAGACCCATGTGGGAGGCCTGGATTAAGTCCTGGTTTCAGCCTGGTCAAAACCCAGCTATTGTGGGCATTTGGGGAGTGAAACAGAAGATGCAAATAAGGGAGAACTGTGAAAGTTTTCTACAATTTGCTAAACAATTCTAAGCTCTGATTTAAAAAAATTTTTTAAATTTATTTGCCTTTCACCTATTTGAAAGGGAGACAGATTGAGATTTTTTTCATCTTCTGGCTTACCCCCAAATACCTGTGATATCCAGGGCTGGGTCAGGCCAAAGCCAAGAGTCTGGAACTCAATCTGGGTCTCCCATGTGGATGTCAGAGACCCATACAGCTGCGTAATCACCTGCTGCCTCCCAGGGCAGCATTAGCAGGAGGCTGGAACTGGATGCAGGGCCGGTACTCAAACCCTGGCCTACGACAGGGGGTGTGGAGAGCCTAAGCAGTGTCTTAACTGCTGCACCAAATGTCAATCCCTGTAAGTGCTGGTTTTAAAAATATTTTCATGTTGATACAGGATTTTCAAAGACACAAGAAGACAACCCAGAGATTTCTTATGCCATAAAGATATCACTGGGACAACTGGCCAATCCTAAGAAAGCTCCATAAGGATTGGAAACGGAGGTGGGACTTGAACCCGGGTACTCTGATAAAGGATGCGAGCATCCCAAGTCACGGTTTAACCTGCTGCTTCACAATACTTGCCCCTAGATACCTTTTTGTAACCTGCTCTTTTCACTCAGATAATAATAATGTATCAAAATACTAGCATATCAACTTTAAGGCACTAAGAACATACTTGTGTGGTGAGTGTTTAGCCTAGTGTTGGGTGACTGGTTGGGATGCCCCTGTCCCATATCGGAATGCCTGGGATCAATGACTACTCCAGCTCCTGACTCCAGTTTCCTGCTGATGTGCAGACCCCAGGAGGCAATGATGACAGCTCAAGTGGCTGATTTCCTGACACTTGTGAGAGACCTGGCTTGTGTTCAGGGCTCCCGGCTTTGGCCTGGGCCAGCCCTGGACATTCAGGCATTTGGGGAGTGGGTCACTGGATGGGAGATCTGTCATCTCTTAAATAAACAAACATTTTAAAATGGAAAATAGTTGCTCAAAGAATAAATACCAAGTAGTAATTTGTAATTTTGCTAATGCATAATTTAAATCAACAAGTATGTGAGTCTCACTGATTAACAACATGATTTCAACCCAACCTTGGGTATTCTCCATATAAATAATAAGCTAAGGAAGTACTCAGGAATTTGAGAATTACAAAGGTCTTTGGATGCATTCCTCATGAATGGCAAATCGCTGCTTCCTATTTAAAATTGTGCTACCTTTTTTTTTCCTCATTGATAAGGTGGCCCATACTTCAAAAAATAGAAAAGATAAACAGAGAAAACAAAAGTCACTCATATTCTAATCACACTCTTCATATTTTACTGTGACTCCTTCCATGTTTTCTCTACATTACATTTTAAAACATGTATTTAAACAAAAAATGAGATTCTGTTTTATATATTATTTTGGCTTTATAAAATATTTTTAAATGTTTATTTATTTACTTTTATTTGAAAGATAGAATGATAGAGAAAGAAAGAGAGAGACAGAGATCACTCCCCAAACACCCCCGACAGCCAGAGTGGGGCCAGGCAGAAGACAGGAGCCCAGAACTCATTCAGGGTCTCCCACATGGATGGCAAGGACTCAAGTACTTGAACTATGATCTGCTGCCTTCCAGAGTGTGCGTGAGGACGAGGCGAAGGGGGCACCTGAACTCAGGGACTCAAAGGGATGTGAGCATCCCAAGGAGGGGCTTCACCTGCTGCTTCAACGCTTACCTCTACAGACTACTTTGCAACCTGCTTTTTCACTCAGTGCTTTATTACAGATATCGCTCCATGTTGATATCATGTATATTATATTTAGGACTTCATATTTGTCATTATAGTTATTTCTTGTATTATTTTAAGCAAGACCTCTTCTGATTGGACTTTTTTGTTGTTTCCTATTTTATATTATCATGAACAATATGGAAATAAACCTTTTTTAGATACAAATATATACCAATGTATCCAATAATATACTTAAATAAACACCTGGAGTGTCACTGGTGAGGTAGGGGTTATACGCATGTTAAAGGGAAGCACATATTTTCAAACCACCCCCTCAGAAAGAAAGATTGTAACTAATCGATATTTCAGCCAACAGAAAGTCCTCATTTCTGAATAATCCCTTTTATCATGATTTAATTTCTAGTTTTCTGTCAATTGCGGGCTTTATAGCCCCTGCCCCCACTGCTATGCTTTTATTTCTCATTCTGTGGATTATCTACTTCTGTCCTCTGCTTTTTAAAATTTTTTACTGCCAATCATTTCTTTCTTTCTCATTAATTGCCAAGAGCTCTTTACAGACCAGGGGCCATGCATGGCGTCTCTTATTGCAGACCACTCTCACTCCTCCTGTGACCAGACAGCTAACAGAAAAATCACGTCTTTAATAAAGACTGACCTTAAGAGGTAAAACTATTAAACCTTTCTTTTTTTAAAGGTGTATTTGACTTATTTGAAAGGTAGAGTTACAGACAGAAAGGGAGAGACAGAGAAAGAGAGAGATCTTCCATCTCCTGGTTCACTCCCCAAATGGCCACATTGGTTGGGACTGGGCCAGGCTGAAGCCAGGAGCCAGGAACTCCATCTGGGTCTCCCACATGGGTGCAGGGGCCCAAGCACTTGGGCTCCTCTGCTGCTTTCCCAGGCCATAGCAGGGAGCTGGATCGGAAGTGGAGCAGTCAGGACTCCCACAGCACTCATGTGGATGCCCATGTGTAGGTGGTGGCTTAACCTGCTGCACCTCAACACAGCCCCAGACTATCACCCTTTCCTCATGCAATAGCTTTGCTACTCAAATAAGCAGACTTCTTCCTGAAATCTCTAAAACATCAAAAACATTTCCTTAGCTGGTTTAAATGGGATAGTACCTGCTAAATACCAACAGAACATAATAATTTATTTCTTCCTCAACAAAGGAATCTATCACCAGCCCTCCTTGGGTACGAAGATGCAGGATGCCTTACCTCTACATGCCCACTACTGGCACAGAGAAAGCAAACCACCCTGGGTGTTATAGGAACAGAGGTCAGGATTCCCAAGCCTCCCATCTCCCACACGTTGTCTGCTTCACAATCCTCCTGCAGGGAGAGAGAAAGGTCACTCAGGCAAGTTTTAAAATGATACAACCTTGGATTGAAAATAAGGATGGAAAGTATAAAATTAGAGTAACACCAGAACGTCAAGAGGAGTATTCAATGAAACCAGAAATAACTGCTTCTAAAAATTTTAAACTCAGACACAAACTATGGAGAGATTCACAGACGGGTTCAATTCCTATTACATGTATTGCAGAGATACTGAGATTGAGTTTCCCGACATCCTGGTTTGATTGCTCCCATGTGAAAGAATAATTTCCTCAGATCGTGCACGCGGTGGCCGGCAGAGCTGCGGCTCCAGCCACTCACACTCACTGACTTCACAGCCCTGGCAGAGGCTCTCCTGGCCTGAACCCACCTGCTGCCATCACCCTCAGACACGACCCGGCTGGTGCTGACTTCTTCCTTCAACACCTTTGGTCACAGCATTTTCGTTATTTAAAGTCCATGTACAAAGGGTCTTCAAAAAGTTCATGGAAAGTTTATATTATGGAAAAACTATGGGAGGATTTCAAAGTGTATTTGTGGTAAAATGAGCTCATCTTTTGATTCCATTTTCCCTCGCACCGTGTGATTGATCACTGAACACATTTACCTTAAAATCCACCCTGATCCTGTGGACTCCATCTGCTGGGACTTTCTGCTTAGAACTAGTGCCATTGGACAGAGTGTTGAGGATGTTCAAAGTGCTGGCATTCTCCTGCTTACTGATGGGAGGCGGTTTTTCCTAAGGAGACATAAGACGGTTACAGAACAAAGCACAGCCGACAGGCCATCACATTTGCAATGTGTAATGCAAAGGACAAATCTCATTAATAGACCCGAAAACCTTGTTTCCAACGTAAGTGGCCCATAGAAACAGAACAGTCATCTTCAGAAGATCCTTACATCAGCTCTCTCCTTCTATCCATAACAAATAAAAATAGTGGACACAGGGAAAGGCAATTTTTACAAATACTGTGAAGTAAAACAAAACCCAACTATGCCAAGGGGCCTGCAGAACAAGCAGATTCCTAGGCTAGAACCTGTGGGGCAACAAGGGAAAGAGACCAAAAAAAGACAAGGGCTAAAGGCTAACCCTAAAGTTTATTCATTTCAAGAAATCCCACTGCTATCTACGTAGAAGAAGGAATGCAGTTTTGCTCAGTCACATCCATGTCAAGGATGGAATAGCACACGCGCCCGAGAGGTGGCAGAGAAACAAATCTGTCCTCACCTTTTCTTTTGGTTTCTGTTTCACAGGGATACTAGGGCGGGGAGCCACTTTTTTCTGCTTGCTTTGCTCTGGACCTAAAGAATTCAAAGCAGATTGCGGTCAGATGCTGGCAACAGCTACGTTATGAGTGACGAGCCTATGAGAGACACCCTGGATTTCAAAGGAAAAATGAAGACAATCTCTCCAATGTAACTGGTTCTAAAAAAAATCTTCCATTTCTTTATTATTATACAAAAGGCAGCTAATTTCTGGAGCCGAAGACTTAAGATCCCCCAGTTCTGGTTTCCAAACGCCATCCGAGCCATCAGCGCCTCTTTGCTAGCACTTGTGGCTCAGCCGCTCCTCCGTGTCTTCCTTGCTACTCACCTGATTCTGGTGGTGGAGGCTGCTTCTTCTTGGGCTCGCTTGGAGTGGTCTTGGGAACTTCTTTTCTCGGTGGTCCTGTGCTGGGTGGCTGAGGAGGGATGACGGGTGCTGGCTGGGAGACCTGTTTGCTGGACTTTCTGGAAGCTGGAGTGGTGCCTTGTTTGGATTCGGGCCCTGGCGCCGAGGCATTCCCTTCTTCACTCTTCTCCTCGACCGGCTTCCGTGGAGCGGGCTCACTGCTGCTTTTCTTTGGGGCAGGATCCTCTCTTGCTGGTGGGGTAGGCTTCTGACTAGAGTCCACCACGCTCTTCACAACACTGCTCTCTTTGCTCTCTTTCTTTTCACTGGTCTTGGACTTTTTCTCTTTCTTTTTCACAGCTAGGAGGAAAAAAACAAGGTCTTCTATTAGGGAGGACAATTTTTTTTTAATTTAAAATAGATTTTTGGGGGCCGGCGCTGTGGCACAGCGGGTTAACGCCTTGGCCTGAAGCGTCAGCATCCCATATGGGCAATGGTTTGGGTCCTGGCTGCTCCACTTCCTATCCAGCTCTCTGCTATGGCCTGGGAGAGCAGTAGAAGATGGCCCAAGCCCTTAGGCCCCTGCACCCACTTGGGAGACCCAGAAGAAAACTCCTGGCTCCTGGCTTCGGATCGGCGCAGCTCCAGCCGTTGTGGCCATCTGGGGAGTGAACCATCGGATGGAATACCTCTCTCTCTCTCTGCCTCTCCTCTCTCTGTGTAACTCTGACTTTCAAATAAATAAATAAATATTTTAAAAAAATAAAATAGATGTTTGGGGCTGGCATTGTGGCGCAGTGAGGTAAGCTGCCACCTACAACAGTGACATCCTGTTTGGAGCACCAGGTCGAGTTGCAGCTACACCACTTCTGATCCAGCTTCTCGCTAACGCGCCTGGGAAGGCAGCGGATGATGGCTCCAGTACTTGGGGGACCCAGATGGAGTTCCTTGCTTCAGCCTGGCCCAATCCTGGCTACTGTGGCTATTTAGGGAGTGAACCAGCTGAAAGCACTCTGCCTTTCAAACAAATAAATAAATCTTTAAAAAGTAAAATAAAATAGATGCATAGAAATGTAACATAACCTTATTCTCAGTTCCCTGCAGTTAAAGTTGGCATTGAAAGGCTCAAAACAGTTAATGTTAAGTTGGTCAGAGGAAACACGCACACTTCTATTGCTCTGGGGAGTGGACCATAGACTATAATTCTTAAATACATTTTAATTACTACATAAATTTTAAAACATAACCCAAAATACAGGGAGTAGTCAAATGAACCCTTATGCACCCATCACCCAGTTTCAACCACCACAAACTCGCCGGAAACAGCAATACTTAAAAAACTAGTATTCTTCTTTACTATGTTTGTGACTATACTGCATTAACACAGGGAGCATTTGGAGTGAGACCCTTTTTAGCAACACTACCTTTAGCTTGCTTTTGAAGGTAGGCTTTGGAAGGCATCCATTGTAGATTCTGACATTTCCTCATCCTATGACAACAAAGAATAAGCCATGTAAGTTACATTTGCAAGAGAAGCAATTGAAACAAGTGGTCATTTGTCTGCAAGAATCAGTGAATTTTTTATTCAGGTTCATTTTGACAGTTGAAAAAGTCTGCTCATTACTCAGGTTAAATCTGAACCTTCAGATCCTGAAAGCAGCAATTTTACCCACCCTGAGGATCTAGAAGGAACAAATATCAAATTATTTTGAAATGGGACTCAAATTTCTTATAACCTAATACTGACTAGCACTGCACACAAAATGATCACTCAATAAATCTTGTGGTCCTTATAACATTTATAATCATAAAATAGACTACAATTAGCCAGTAAGGCATTTGTCTATCAATATAATGCTACAGGTAGGTGGGTCTCATGGCTCTGATACACGAATACTTCACCCCTTAATTTAAATTTAGTGAAACTCAAATTTAATTTGAAGTCTAAAATTTCACCACATCAACCCTTACATTTAATGCAATTTTAGCTTGCCATCACGTACCTATATGGGATAATAAGATTCTTGCTTAAGGCCCAGTCAAAACAAAGCACAGAACTACTTATCATCTCCTGGAAATTGTCTCCACTGAAGTAAATAATTCAGTACTTCTCCCAATTAAGCTTTTTATTAACGAGCATCATTTATTCATTCATTCATTCAGCAGATATCCATGGATAATATCTATTCCTTGTGCCAGCACTTTGCGAAATGCTCACCCACCAAAATTTCTGTTTCTGTAACTCTCCTGATCCATTTTATACAAATCTTTCCATGTGGCAGAAACTACACCCATAGCGGGTAAGTGTTTGAGGCAGTGGTTAAGACGCCACTTGGGACACCAACATCCCAAACTGGAGTGTCTAGTTCAAGTCCTGGCTCCACTTCTGATTCTAGTTTCCTACAAATGTGCACCTCGGGAGGCTGCAGATAAAGACCTGTGTACTTGGGTCACTGTCACCATATGGAAGACCCAGACTGAATTCCAGACTCCTGGCTTTGGTTTGGCCCGGCCCCAGCTCTTGCAGACATTTGGGAAATGAACCAACAGATGGAAGATCTCTGTCTGTCTATATGTCTCTCTTTTCTCTCTTTTGCTCTCTCTGTATTTCAAATAAAAAAATTCATAAACTTTTTTTTTTTTTTTTAAAAAGCATGTTTGGAGCCAGCACTATGGCATAGTGGGTAAAGCTGCCACCTTCAATGTGGGCATCCCATATGGGCGCCAGTTTGAGTCCCAGCTGCTCCACTACTAATCCAGCTCCCTGCTAATGGCCTGGGAAAGCAGCAGAAGATGGCTCAAGTGCTTGGACCCCTGCCACCCAAGTGGAAGACCTGCAGGAAGCTCCTGGTTCCTGGCTTTGCGTCTGCCCAGCTCTGGCTATTGTGGCCATTTGAGGAGTGACCCAGCGGATAGAAGATCTCTCTCTCTGTCTCTCTGCCTTTCAAATAAATAAATCTTTAAAAAATCCTGCTCAAATACTGATTTAAAAAGGGGGAAATGTAGAGCAATAAAAAAATTTCATATCAAAAAATTCCATAAGCATGAAAATAGTCTAAGAAGTCAGAGAACATGGAGATTTACATAAGACAGGCTCAAATGACTCCTGAGTGCCATAAAGGCAGGAGTAAAGAAATGTTATGCCCACAATGGTCAAGTTTTAGGGAGAACTGCTCTAGAATGGCACTGACATGGTAGTCACTAGTCACCTGTGGCTATTTAAGTTAATTAAAATTAAACACAGGGCGTAGTTCCTTAGTTGCACTAACCATGTGCCACATGTGGCTAACGGCTGCCATACTAAACTGGGCATACATAGTGCATGTTCATGATCACAGAATGTTCAATTAGAAAGTGTTGCCCAAGAGCAATTCTTACTTCAGCACAACCCACATCCAGTCACATCATGGAATCCAACCCTACAGCTGATCGTGCAACTCAAAGGCGATCTGATATGACCACATTCAGCTTCCTGATGCATCTCTGCAACAAACCAGGGGTAAATAAGCAACCTCCAGGTTGAGAGGTCAACACCACTCACTTGCAGCACTGCTTCTTTATGTTACGGCCACCAAACTTGGGCTTGTCTAAGCAATTAGTGCAAACACCACAGTCCTCAGGCACCTGGCAGCCAGGACACTGCCCACACCGCCTCGATCGCCGTCCTTTCTTTACCGGAGGTTCCTGAGGTGCCTTGTTTCTGGTGACAGGCTTAATCGGTTTGATGGGGGGAGCAAGAGGTTCAGCATCTTCTGAGCCAGCAATCGATGACTTGTCTGTTAGGGAAAGGTGCCATTAGTTCTGAAGGAGCAGCTAATCCCTTCACATCACTAGATTCATTCAAACCTCATTTTAATTGGGACTCCAAAAATGGAATACATTATAATGAAAATATTTATATGTTGAATTCAGCATATGTTTCAAAGAACTATTTAAATGTTTAAAAATGCCTATAACCTCAGTCATGACGAAAGCTCAAATCCAAATCTGAAAACCAAACAGTATAAACCAAGTTCAAGAATATGAATTTAAAGCTTGTAAATCTCTCAATTCATCATGAGTAGCGACCTAGCATTTAAGAACTACATGGCAGGGGCCAGCGCTGTGGCAAAACAGGTTAAGCTTCCATCTGTAATGCTGGCATCCCATATGGATACTGGCTGGAGGCCTGGCTGCCCCACTTCTGATCCAGCTCCTTGCTAACGTGCCTGAGAAAGCAGTGTAGGATGGCCCAAGTGCTTGGGCCCCTGTTAACCCATGTGGAAGACCTGGAAGAAGCTCTAGGCTTCAGCCTGGCCCAGCCCTTGCCATTGCAACCATCTGGGGAGTGAACCAACAGATGGGTCACTGTCTCTCTAACTGTCTCTCCCCCCCTCTCTCTGTAACTCTGCCTTTCAAATAAATAAGATAAATCTTAAAAAAAAGAGAGAGAGAGAGAGAGATAAAGAAAAGAAAAAAGAAAAAGAACTACATGGCAGCCATGAAAATGTGCCTCACAGCAGTCCAACTCCAGGAAGTGCGACTGACCAAGGATCTTGCTGCTGTGCTCTGAAACCCAGCAATGCAGACAGGCCATTCTTACCACGGGCTGTTCTTGGGCAGCGAGTCAGTGCGGCAGGGACAGTAAGGTAGGCCGACCCCAGGAGACACAAGGCTCCTCCGATACACCTCATGGCAGTCTAAGGAAGGCTTCCCCCAACCTTCCTTCCTACTCCCCTTCACGGGAGTAACCAGACTCACACCACAGTCCCACAGCTCCCCAGTCTTTCCTGGCCATGTCCCCGTTTTCATTCTCAGGCACTTCCTCTAATAAAATCCTCAGGCATTTAATCCTCTCTCACCATGTTTTATGGAAGACCTGGACGAACCATGAAGTGCCTAGTTGGCACCTCCAGAATGATCAGCAAACAAACCAGAGGTCTGCTCAGACTCCAAGGCTGACCCCCGACTTACCATCATTCCCCATGGAAGACAAAATCTTCTCCCGTTCTTCCCAAGGTAAGGCACTCAGGGTGGGCATGTCGTCAGGAAACACAGCTCGTTTTCGGCCAAGGGCAACAGCAGCTCTTCTGCATACGTGTTTAATACGGGGACCTCGTACAGAGGTCTCTGATGAATCACTCTCTTGACCCTGCATACCAGGCAAGCCAAAAAGCAAACAATAAAACCACATATGTTAGAAATACGATTGAATGAAACCAAGGTGTGCTTGGTCAATTCTCATGATATAGAATCATAAGTCAGATCAATAACACAGAAGTCAATTACTTCTGTGTCTTAAAATTGGCAGCAAAAAAGCCCTCTAGTCAAAAAACAGAATCAACTAAACTTCTATTCTTAATTACACTACTTCTTTAAAATTCCCCTCAAAATTCAAGCTGCAGGGGCCTATGTTGTGGCATAGCAGGTTAAGCTACTGTCTCCAACACCAGCATCCCATATAGGCATCGGTCAGAGTCCCAGCTGCCTACTTCTGATCCAGCTCCCTGCTAATGTGCCTGGGAAAGTAGTGAAGGATGGTCCAAGTACTTCGGCCCCTGCACCTACGTGGGAGGCCCGTGTGAAGCTACTGGCTCCTGGATTCGTCCTATCTCAGCCTTGGCAGTTGCGGCCACTTGGGGAGTGAATCAGCAGATGGAAGATTTGTCTGTCTGTCTCTCCCTCTCTCTGTAATGCTGCCTTTCAAGTAAATAAATGAATCTTTTTTTTAAATTTTTTTATTTTTATTTTTTATTTTTGATAGGCAGAGTGGACAGTGAGAGAGAGAGACAGAGAGAGAAAGGTCTTCCTTTGCCGTTGGTTCACCCTCCAATGGCCGCCGCTGCAGCCGGCGCACCGCGCTGATCCGATGGCAGGAGCCAGGATCCAGGTACTTATCCTGGTCTCCCATGGGGTGCAGGGCCCAAGCACCTGGGCCATCCTCCACTGCACTCCCTGGCCATAGCAGAGAGCTGGCCTGGAAGAGGGGCAACCGGGACAGAATCCGGCGCCCCGACCGGGACTAGAACCCGGTGTGCCGGCGCTGCAAGGTGGAGGATTAGCCTATTGAGCCACGGCGCCGGCTTAAATAAATGAATCTTTTTAAAAAATTCAAGGGGCCATTGTCATGGAGTAGTAGGTAAAGCCACTGCTTGAAATGCCAGCATCCCATATGGGCACAGGTTTGCATCCTGGCTGCTCCATGTCCAATCCAGCTCCTTGCTAATGCACCTGGGAAAGCAGTGGATGATAGCCCGAGTATGTGGGCCCCTGCCACCCACGCGGGAGACCTGGAAGAAGCTCCTGACTCCTGGCTTCGGCTTGGCCCAGCACCAGCCATTGCAGCCATCTGGGGAGTAAACCAGGGGATGGAAGATCTCTGTCTGTTTCTCTCTCTCTGTAACTCTCTGGCATCATTGTAACAAACTCAATTTTATAGCTTTTCTGTTCTGCTTAAGGTTAAGTGCTTCTCATCTGTATTCTTCAAACAACTAGCATCGGTTGCTCTCTGATCACTCACTACTCAGAGGAGGAAGAGAATGCTCCCCTCCAGTTTTCTGTTTCACCAGGGATAGAAAAACGATTTGACTATAAAAATGTATCTTCAAAATGAAGTTGGATTCCACTACTCCAAAGCCATGAGGTTCAAACTACTTGGCATTCTCTGTAAGTAAGGTCCCAGTGCACCTTTTGGCCTTGGTTCACCACTCTCATGTGGGTCAGTCCAGCTATCTACTGTTCCTCACATACGCTCATGCTTTCCCAGCTCCAGCCACACCTGTCCCTTTACTCACATGTATCCACTAAAACCCTAGCGGTCCTTGAGGGCTCACTGCTAATAGCACCACCTCACCAGGCTTCTCCTGATTCCCATAACTGAGTGTAACTGAAACGCTTAGCCTAAAACTTGCTCATCGAAGGAGTCTGATAAGCTGTTGGTTTTAACAGGCAAGTTGGAAGAGAGTACCTGTGCTTTGGGCTGGTCAGTTTGCTTAAGACTCTTACTCTTCTCGATCTTGCAGAGCTGGGCTTTGGCCTTTTTTAGCAGGCTGGCAACCCTCTTGTCAGTCATTGGAAGCTTGTCTGCCTGAGCCAACATGGAGCCTATGGAGGAAGTGGAATGTTTAACAGTGCTAGAGGAAGGAGTGGAAAGGCAGAGGGTTTTCTCCTTCTCCAGGGATGGGGCAGTTGGGCCGAGGTCCAAGTTGTTTTTTTCCAGATTTCCTCTCCCTTTCTTTATAAGTATTTTGGTTTTGACAGCTGTTGTATCCCCAAGAGTCACAGCAGCAATATCAGTCCCAGAATCGAGTGATGAAGACTTCTTCCGCCCTGTGGCCTTTTTGGCAGAAGAGGAGGTGCCAACATCTTCACCAGCAGCCTTCTCTTTGGAAACCCTGCCCACTGCATACAAAGCAGAGCTACTCTGAATCTCGGACCCCTTCTTCCTCTTCTCTTTCCTTGACTCCCGCTTATTCTCTTTTTCTCTCTCCCGGTCTCTCTCTCTACTCTTGTCCTTCTCCACGCTCTTGTCAGCGTCTCGATCTTTGGACAGCTCCTCGGGGGCCTTGTCTTTATTCCTCCCTCTTTCAGTCTGAGAGCCTGGGGTGAACCAAGGGAAGAGAGGAGTGGGACTACTTGACGAGAATGGCTCTGCTGGAGCACTAGTCTGCTTCCTTGGTCTCTGGTTTTTCTCTGCAGATTCCCCAGACTGAGTCAGGGAATGAGAAGGAAAAGTAAAAGTCGGGTTTAAGGCACTAGTGGCAAGAGGACTAACAGAAATGCTCAACGAGGAAGAGACAGAAGATGGGGGAGTGAGAGGTGACAGCTCAGAAGTGCTAAGCCTTCCACTTCTTGTCCTCATGGAGTGAGAAGGAGATCTTGGTTCAGATCGAATAGGACTAAACACTTTTCTTTTCCTTTTTCTATTAGATACTCCTGAAGAAGATGTTCCAGCAGAAGTTCGATTACTAGGCAAGGTTACAGACTCAAATATTCTAGAGTGAGCCTCGCTTGGAGTAAATCTTGGAGCTCTCAGAAGAGGGCTCCTTTTGTGCATATCAAACCTTGTTCCGGAATGGAGTGGCGAAAACAGTCGGGCTGAGGCAGCAGTACCAGATGCAGAAAAACCAGACGCGAAGCCGACATCCTCGGGAGTGAGTGGAGGGGGTCGGAAGTTATCAAATATTGGTTTGCGGATAAGCCCTTCTTTGGCATACTTTGCTGAGGAAAAGTACTGCGGCTCTGACCTAGAATGCTTCAAAGAAGTCCACCTAAATGTTGGTTCTCGCAAAATAGATTTTCGCTTCCCTTGCATGGGCGCAGCAGAAGCAGGCAAAAACGGTGAGGCTAAGGGGATTGTTGGAGGCATGAGCCACGGTGTGTGGTCAGAGATGCTGGGGGCCGGCTGCAGTGGCGGGGGTGGAGTAAGCAGCGGGGGAGGGGGCGAGGAGGAGGTCTGCTGCTGGGGGGCACTTTGTAGAGTTGACAGCTTTTTAGTGGCTCTAGATCCGAAGCTCCTCTCCGAGACCGAATACCTTCGGCTCCTCCTGTCGTTGCTCTCGGTTTCTGGGGACTGGGAAATGGGCAGTGGAGTATGGACTTCGGGGGTCTCACTCCGCTCTTCGGGAAGACCCTGGATCTCCTCAGAGGCCTGAGAATCCGTGGAGGTATCGACGCTGGGGCTGCTGGATCGGGAGGAGTCTGAAGACACCTGAGAGGAGTGCTGAGAAGCTGCGCTGGATTTCTCAGAAGATCCACAGGACGTGGCGCTGAACCTGCTGTTGGGTGTAGACTCCAGTCGGGCGATTTTAATTGGAGGGTCGTAATCCTCATCCTCGATGAACCGCCGAGGCGTTTTGATGATGCGTGAGGAGATGGCGCTGACGACTGGCATGATGAACTGCCGAATGTTCTTGACCTGCGTCTTCACCTTTCTTCCTTGCAGCTGAGCTGCTTCTTTTTCAATTTTCTTTTGAGCCCCTTTTTTTGCCCTCTGCAGGAGTTGCTTAGCAATTGTTGCATCTGTCCTTTTGGAAGAAGGAATAATCCTGACTGGCTTAATCCTTCGAGGGCTCTGCCTGACCACCGCCTTGTCCTCTCTGGCGAGCGGAGGTGTTCCTTCTTTGTCTTTGCGGACCTTCTGGGGCTTTTCCAGTTCAGAATTAATGAGGAGACCCGAAGGGGTCTTTATCCTTTCTGTTGACGGGGGCCTTCCTCGCCGCCGGACAATTTGGACCCCCTTCCTTCCTATTTGAAGCTTCCCTGTCTTAAACTTAGACTTGAGAGGAGAGAGTTTACCTGCTCTTAATTTTTTTATCTTTGTGGCTTGCTGAAATGTGGCAGAAGGCGTCCGTTTGATTGTTTTCAGGCTCTCTTCTTTGCTTTCCTTTGGTAACTCTGCAATGTCCTTTCCGTGTGTTATTTTGATTTTTACTCCAGTGAAAGTGGGAGGTCTTCCTCGCTTCTTTTCTATGCTTTTGGAATCTTTCTTCTTGATCTTATCTCCAGATTTGGTCTCTGGTTTATTGAGAGGGGAAAACACAGATGAGTCTGAGAGGATAGCTGAATTTCGGTCAGAGCCACTTCTAGGTCTCCCGCGAGGTTTTCGAGGACTAGTTTTAACTGCGTATAGAAATTAAACAATGAAGAGCATATATTTAGCCGTGCAGTGCAGGTCTTAACTAAGCTGAATATCATTTAGTACAGGCCATTTTGTACTGAACTCAACTTGGGTCTATTGAGCCAATCAAATACCTTAATTGTGCTTAGTTTCTTTTCACCAAAAAAAGCTGCCTCAAAGAAGTAAAAAAAAAATTTTCACCTGAAAGAACATTTAATTATTTTTTGATGCAAACATCAAGATAATAATGAGAGGTTTTCAACTGAACAATTAATCTATAAAACTGATTTTCCTACAACTTTAGGAGAGCAAGAAATATTTTTCCCTAAATTTAAAAGAATTGTAAGGAAAAAAGAAATTTGTAACACCTCTCCATGTCCTAGCCACTAAGCCCAACATTAAAGAACGTTTCAAAGAAGTCACACCATGTTTTCAATTCAGAATTTTGGTTTCAAATGAATTTGAAGAAGGTGTTCGTCAATCAACAATGCACTTTCATAGGAAAAAGCCCCTGGGTACTCAGAGTCCTATATTTGCTGTCTATTTTGCCAAGGTAAACCAATAAAGTTTTACTGAATAAAAAACATTCACTCATGAGATGTCAGAATAAGGTCTGAACTCTGAGGCATTTGAAAACAAACCAGTGAAGAGACATAAGGAGGTGTCTATTAATCTACTCTCCTATTTGGAGTTCTTTAACTAGTTAGTCACAAGTTACAAAAAGATTTAACCTTAAATAACGTCAACAGCAAACCAACAACTTATTAAATCAGATTTCTTTCATTCTGAATAAAAGGAATTTGCTGATTCATAAATTAGCTCAATTTGCTACTTACCAAGGGATATGAGAAAGAGAATATCTCTAATACTTACATAAACCTGTATTCTTAAAAATGTATTAAGAGTTGCCAATTTTATCATATCTCCTCTTCCTTCTTGACTTTGCATGTTTTATATGACAACATTCTTCTAAGTCTAAAACCTCCCATAATAGGCACCAAAAGAGATTTATGCCATTATAATGAACACTTTCACTATAGAACCACTTTCTAACAGAACAGAAATCAACAAAGGTCTTACTGTTGAGTTTTCTAAATATAAATGCATTCCTCACAAATTAACTTATGAGATTTCCCTTAAGTTAAGGATTCACAAGTCCATTCTCAATATACAAGCATGTTAACCAAAACAAAGATAATGGATTAACAGACATGAGAGAAACTGTTTCATTTCCTAAATAATGAGTCATATCCAGATAGCTTTTTAGAAAACAAGACAACATTCAAGGTAGACTGACAGCCAAGAGAAAAGAGGAAACCATCATGAAAGAGTTGTGGATTAACAAAATAAAACTCCTGCCCAGAAGTACATAAGATTCTATATAAACGTGGTAGACTTGAACCTGACCACTCAGAAAGCTTTATCAATTCTGAAACTCTCGTCTATCTTACTTTCCAAAGAAGCTTTACATAGATAAGTAGAAAAATAGAAACAGCTCAGCAGAGAGTACTGTCCGCTCTGCTGCTGACTTCCCTAATCCACAGCACATCCAAAGGACTCACCAACTGGTTATAAATAGTTGTTCATCATGTACTTTCTAGGCCTACTCTGTCAACTGTAAATGAAGGACTAGGCCAGATGATGCCACAAATCCCTTTCCTAATATGAATTTTTAACATTTCATCACATCTTAAAGAGAATATTGCTCCTGGGGCTGGCGTTGTGGTATAGCATGTGAAGCTACTTCCTACGGCACCAGCATCCCACATGGGTGCTGATTTGCTTCCTAGCTTCTCCACTTGTGATCCAGCTTCCTGTTAATGACCTGAGAAAAGCAGCAGGATATGGCCCAAGTGCTTGGACCTCTACCATCCATGTGGGACATGCGGATAAAGCTCCTGGCTTTGGCCTGGCCTAATCTTGGCTGTTGCATCCACCTGGGGAGTGAACCAGCGGATGTAAGATCTCTCTCTCTCTCTCTCTCACTCACTCTCTCTCTCTGTAACTCTGACTTTCAAATACATAATTTTAAAAAGAGAGAGAAAGAGAAAATATTGCTACTGTGTAAATAATACTGATAACTGGCTAACCACTGGATACTACCTTCCCACTGAAATGGCAATGCCACCAGCACTTGAGAAAACTATCAACTTGGTTGTTTGAATTAGATTACTGTACAACATATGCTGACTCTTAAATGAGACCCAGATGCTAACATCACATTTAACTACAGTGTCTATCCACATGAAGCCAAAAACTGTATCAGAAGTCAGGATGGCAGTGAAGTTGGGGAATGTATTTCTCATCCAAGGGTCTTCAGCTTTCTCCTACAGAGTACTGATTTCTGCAAGCCACTAAATATTATTTCTGCTGAGAATCTTCTCTTTAAAAAAGAAGATTATTTATTTATTTGAAAAGCAGAGTTACAGAGAGGTAGAGAGAGAGATCTTTCATCCATATAGGTTCACTCCCCAAATGGCCACAATGGCCAGAGGTGAGCTGATCCAAAGCTAGGAGCCTGGAGCTTCAGGGTCCCCTACATGAGTGTAGGGGCCCAAGGACTTGGGCCATCTTCTGCTGTTTTCCCAGGCACATTAGCAGGCTGCTGGATGTGAAGTGGAGCAGTCAGGACTCAAACTGGCACCCTTATGGGATGCTGGCACAGCAGCTGGCAGCTTTGTCAGCTATGCCACAGTGCCAGTCCCAAGAACCTTCTCTTAGGAAACTGCTTGTAAGTCTAAAATTTCTAAGGGCTGGCGCTCTGACATAATGAGTAAAGCTGCCACCACTGATGCTAGTGTCCCACAGGGACAATGGTTCATGTCCTGCTGCTTCAAACTTCTGATCCAGCTCCTTGCTAATGGCTTGGGAAAAGCAATAGACTATAGCTCAAGTATATGTAGGTCCCTGCCATCTGTGTGGGAGACTCAGATAAAGTTCCTGGCTCTTGGCTCCTGCCTGGCCCAGCCCTGGCCATTGCAGCCATCTGGGGAGTAAAACAGTAGGAGGAAGATCCCCCTCAAAAAACTCTGACTTTCAAATAAATAAATAAATCTTCCTTAAAAATCTAGAATTTTTAGATATTCTGTTGTGGGAACAATGACAACTACTGCTAATAAATGGAAACATGTCATGTAATGTTTTTTGTTCTTTAGCACAGCCTTTCAAGGATCAGGTGAAACGGTTTCATATAGTGCTAATACTTTATCTTTAGTTCTTTGATAACAGTAGATTAAATTTCATCTGTGAGAAACAAAAGCTAAATTATTCCCAAAGGCATACATGAATCTGAGGATGCTCCAAACAGGTGGTCTTTAGTTTGCCTGCCTGGTTTCCAAATCATTCCTTGGAAACTTACCTCCCATGCCCCAGGTACCTCCCAGAAGAAGCATACTAAAGAATAAAGCAAATGTGGCCTGACAGAGAAGTGTCACATAAAGACATCTAGGTCACAAGCCATGTCCTATCTCCAGTATTGTAGGTCACCCTTGACATGCAAAGACGGCACGGGGAAGCCACACTCTCCTAACAAACAAAACTGAAAGGCACCGTGTGCTTAATCGGCCATACCTGAAGGAGACCTTGTGGGGCTTCGCACTCTGACTTCTTCATCTGAGCCAAAACCTAAGAACTGCTCATCCTACAACAAAGGAAAATTATTTTAAAATCAGAAGCAAAAACATGAATGTGAACATATCCCAAAGAAACACCCAGAGGAGGCACAAACGAATTTTGAAAATTAACCTCTATTTTATTAATCATTCAAATGGATACTAGAAAATAACCAATAATTAAATGAAATGGGCCCAGCCATGCAGCTTCATTTCAGACAAACAGGAGCTGGCAGTCACTGGACAATGCACTGAAAAGTCATCTTCGGTGCATAACACCCAGGGGACAGTCCTGAATCTCAAACGATAGATACAGCCCAAAACAATTAAAGGGTGACTTTAATTCAGGTAAGCAATCAGTATAATGATAGAAATATACAGCCCCAATAAAACAAAACAAACACTTTTCAGTAAGTATTTCACTCTACAGACACATAAGGAATAACATAAATAACATCATAATCTCTTACCTACTAAATATTAACAGAGACTGAAAGTGCCATAATCGTCAGTTCCTTAACTCAGGAATTGACATTTAGGTGTGATTTCTGTACATTTGAGATCCAGAGATTCTCAACGTGCATTTTATGGCACTGTTTTAAAACGCCCTGTGATAAGAGACTTAATGGTGGGCAGCAGCATTTGTGAGAGGGACCAAGGACTGACCACATGCAGGGGGAAATCCTGTCACTAGGAACTTACAGCAACATCTCATTTTCATTTATACTTGCAAGAGACAAAAAGCCAGACTTTTCCTTACCTCTAACTTTTAACCTGCCCTTTAAAAATATGCTAAGGAGTCACTGAATCTACGTTGCTCAAGTTCTCAAGCTAGACCACCTACGGAAACAGACTGACTATGAGACATTCACTGATTCCTGAGGCTGAGTTCTTCCCAGAGAGACAGCGAGAGAATTTCAGATGTCAGAAACAAACTCCACAGAAAACAAAAACAAATCAAGGAGTGATGAACAGACCTTCCTGTACCTCCAGCTTCCACTGAAAAGTCTCGAACTAAGGTCCCATGATCACAGTCCATAAACTTTCCTCTCAGGATCTAACAGTGCATGGAGCGGACAAAATGGTGGCTTCTCTGCTACACAGCTGTCTGCCCAGTCAGTTGGCTGTCAAATGTTTAACCACTTTCAACCAGGAATATATTAAATGATACATGTCATGATGTAGACAAATTGGTAACATCATCTCCTAAATGTGAATGTCTTTAAGGAGCACAATTTTGGGTTCAAGCCTTGGCAAGCTATGCAACTGATACTTCTTACTAAAATCTAAAAAAATTTCTGTTCTGACATTATTAAGATTGAAATGTTGAACTACTTAAGAAAAAGCTGAAATTCACTTTAAAGAGATTTATTAAAAATGGATTACAATGCTAAGAATGTGTTAAATCTAAGTTTAAGGAATATAAACTAAAGGATGTAAATTTTTTACAGTTTCTTCTTTCAACACTAAATTTACTATTTTTTAAAAGATTTAGTTATTTTATTGGAAAGGCAGAGTTACAGAGAGAGAGAGAGACAGAGAGCAAGAGATATTCCACCTACTGGTTCACTCCCCAATGGCTAGGCCGAAGTCAGGAGCCAGGAGCTTCTTCCAGGTCTCCCACATGAGTGTGCAGGGGCCCAAGTATTTGGGCAACCTTCCACTATTTTCCCAGGCACATTAGCAGGGAGCTGGATCAAAAATGGAGCAGCTGGGACACGATCTGGCGCCCATATGGGATGCTGGTGTTGCAGTTGGTAGCTTAACCTGCTGTGTGCCACAGTACCGGCTCCATCATCACCACGTTTAAAATAAAACTTTAAATTATTTTACCTTAAAAAATTAAAATCCTTATTGTGAACATAACTATCTGTTGCTCAGCCTATCAAATAAATAAAATAAATTAAAACATTTAAAAGGGGGGAGGCACAGCATTTTGGTACAGTAGTTTAAGCCTCTGCTTGCAAAGCTGGCATTACTGGAGTGTGGTTCGAGTCCTGGGTGCTCTGCTTCTGATCCAGTTAATGTGTCTGAGAAAGCAGCAGAAGGTGGCTCAAAAGCTTGGCCCCTATTGCCCATGTGGAGACCTGGATGGAGTTCCTGGCTTCTGGCTTCAGCCTGGCCCAGCCCCAGTTGCTGGGGCCATTTGGGAAGTGAACCAGCAGATGGAAGATCTCTCTGTCTCTTCTGTCACTCTGCCTTTCAAATAAATAAGTAGTTCTTAAAAAGAAAAGAAAAACTTTTCTCTTCTTCTTAAGTCAGGACATAGCCTAGGACATTGTGAAACTTGACCCAAAATACATTTCTGAAATGACTCTCAAGGTTGACACTTGTAGACTGCAACATTACCAAAAAAGAAACCAAAACTTACAAGAGCCAAATTAATCCCAAATCTTACACAATAATGGAAATTCCATATTGTAAATTTTAAAAAATATACTTTCAGCCAAAAAATGTTTAAAAAAGTAACTCAAAAACATATTTTGAGAAATAAATTAGGCCATTGCCTAATTACCTCAAGTGCTGAAAGAAAAACAAAACACTCAAATCCCCAAAATCATAGAATTTTAGAATTGGGGGGGTGGGCGCGGTCCATTCCTGTCATTTGTCGGTTGTGATGTCAGTGACACCAGCAGCGGGTAGAAGAGCTCATGTAGGGTTTCAGTTCTGCCCAGCACTCTCAGGCTACGTAACTTGGGTCATTTATTTCTCTGTTTATTTACTGGAACATCGTGAAGAGTAAATGAAATGATTTATGCAGAATCACTTGGAAAACTATTAGGCAACACACATACAGTGGATCTTATTGTGGTTGAAGAGACTGAGCTCCGAAAGGCCAAATGATCTTCCTATCTTAATAGCTGTAACTTAAAACTATAAAGAAATATCTGAAAGAACCAAATAAATCATTTATCGTAGAAAAATTGCCATTCTTTCAGCCACTATTAAGGCAACATGATAGCCATTTTCAGATCCTTCAAGTTTTGTTTTGTTTTTGTTTTTGTTTTTTGACAGGCAGAGTGGACAGTGAGAGAGAGAGAGACAGAGAGAAAGGTCTTCCTTTTGCCGTTGGTTCACCCTCCAATGGCCACCGCAGCCGACGCGCTGCGGCCGGCGTACCACGCTGATCCGAAGGCAGGAGCCAGGTACTTATCCTGGTCTCTCATGGGGTGCAGGGCCCAAGCACTTGGGCCATCCTCCACTGCACTCCCGGGCCACAGCAGAGAGCTGGCCTGGAAGAGGGGCAACCGGGACAGAATCGGGCGCCCCGACCGGGACTAGAACCCAGTGTGCCGGCACTGCTAGGTGGAGGATTAGCCTATTGAGCCGCGGCGCCGGCCTCAAGTTTCTAATTCATTCTCTTCTTGTATTATCTGCACTGAACAACTGGCTAATCTATACTTTTTTGAAGACATCTGGAGATTTTCCAGCACTTACCAGGGGACTACATTATTAAATGCAGGAACTTGTACTCCAGGTGTTGTAGTAACAGACAGTTCAAACCAACTATACTTACAATAACTAACAGGTAACCAATAGATGAAGAAAAGTTATTGATCTTCAAAAGAAATATAAGAGACCCACACCACTTTGTTCATTATCAGCAACCTTAATGGGTTTCTTTCTACTCTCAGACTTTCACAGAACATCACTGTGCATACACTCCTTCCTGCAGTATACTTCAAAACAGCACAGCAGCACCGAGCTGTCCAGCAACAACGTAAAGAGTCCAAGTACTTTCCCAGGGGACAGGAAGTACGAACTTGCTTTTCTTCTTGCTTTTCTTCTGTGTGTGTGGTTTTTTGTTTTGTGTGTGTGTGTGTGTTTTTTTTTTTTTTTTTTTGGAATAAAGAAAGAAAAACAATTGGCGGTCAACAAGGATTACACTTCCACCCAACGTGTTTCTTTACACTTGAGATATGGGTTGACTTATTGAAGCACACTTTAAAATATAAGTTCCCATTGTTTAAAGACCCAGACAGCTTAGCCAGAAACAAAAGATGTCATTGTTCTATTACACGGCTCTAGTCTTCTAACTCTGAATTTCTAATTCTATGAAAGCGATGTAGAAAAAAAAAATCTAAAGGAAGCCAAGTCGAGAAAGCACTGGAAGAGAATACTGCAAGAGTGAGCTGCAGAAAAAGTGCTGCTTGTTTTACACACTGCACTGTCATCTACACACTGCACCGTCATCTACACACTGCACCGTCATCTACACACTGCACCGTCATCTACACACTGCACCATCATCTACACACTGCACCGTCATCTACACACTGCACCGTCATCTACACACCGCACCGTCGTCTACACACTGCACCGTCATCTACACACTGCACCATCATCTACACACTGCACCGTCATCTACACACCGCACTGTCATCTACACACCGCACTGTCATCTACACACCGCACCGTCGTCTACACATTGCCTTGTCATCTACACACTGCACTGTCATCTACACACTGCACCGTCATCTACACACTGCACCGTCATCTACACACTACACTACCGTCTACACACTGCACCGTCATCTACACACTGCACTGCCATCTACACACTGCACCGTCATCTACACACTGCACTGTTATCTACACACTGCACCATCATCAGCCACAGGCTCCTCAGCTGGCCCCATCAGCTCTTTAAACACATGGGGTCCTTAGAGGATGCAAACAGGGTGACCGTGCTGACTTCACAAGGATTCAGACTTGCCTCGAAATCAAAAGATGGAAGCAATATATCTACAAAAAGACAACAAAAGGAACTGCAATTAAATCCATGTTTGGCACCGTGGCATCATAAGCCTGGCCAGCCCTGAAGAGAGGCGGTACAGAAGACATGACACACGTGACCCAAGGCTCCTGGGAACTGGGCCCAGATAGACATTCATCACATGGCCTTCTCTGGTGAGCGCAGCATTCCAAGGCAGAGCATGGGCAAGAGCCATGAAGGCTGCTCCTTCCACACAACGATGTCCTGGAGACTAGAATGCCAAGATTTGAGCATTTTCTTACCTCCAAAGAT